TTTTGTTGTCATTGAAATATGAAGGCAATCTTTTTTTCCAGATTTCTAGAGTCTCCTCGCTTTCATGTCCCTCATGTCAGGTATTGGATTCAATGCTGCTCTATCGGCTGTGCAACATTTGCCAGTAAAGGGCTAACATTTTTCCCATTTTAAAAATAATTTTCTTTAAGATATAAAACTTGACAGTATCATAACATTCTCCGGCTAAAGCAAGCTTTACACTAGGCTGCAGAAATGCATGACTTCAATGTCACTCATAATTTAAAAACTAACTGTGAGATACACTTCAGAAATCTCAGTTGGGCTCCTGGACCTCAGATAGTAACATGATATCAAACTAGGAAGGAATTAATTGCTTTCGTGTTGTTGCTCCCTGCTGGTATGTTTTATTTTAAATTCTACTAAACCCAGGGAGCAAGGAGCTGTACTGTAAATCAGAAGCTGACATATGTTGTTTTTTCCCACATCTCTTACAGAAGCTCTGAATTCAAAGAAAAGAATGTTTCTGTGGTCTGGAAAGCGTTGGCTATTGTAACATCTATTTTATCTGATATGGCAGGAATTGAGTTACTTCACAGAAGTCCTGAAGTCTATTCCCTTGGACTGCTAAGTGTTTTAGCAAATGTTTAACTTTGTTGGAAAAAGATTTGTCTAAAGCATACCACACTCATTTTGCTATGGTGTTGGATAGAGGATGATCAGCTATCCTAGCTGACCTGTGACTTTCATGATTGCATTTAAAAATCACTTATTTATTTAGTCTTTCTATTAGAGAAGCAGTGATAGACAAAGAGAGAAAGAGCAAGCACTCTGATCTGCTGATTCAGTCCCTAAATGCCCATAACAGCCCCGGGCTGAAGCTGGGACCTGGGAAATCAATCCAGGTTTCCCATGTAAGCAGCAGGGAATCAACCACTGAGTCATCACTGCTCCAAGGGTCTGTATTATCAGGAAACTGGAATCAAGAGCAGAGGGAGACTCAAACCAAAGCATTCCAATATAGGATGCAAGTATCCCAGCCCATATCTTAACTGCTAGCCAAATGCTTGCCCCACTTTCCTTATTTTAACACTTAAAGTTTCATGTCCTAGGAAAACTCTTGAACTGAAGCAAAATGTGTAGTCATCTTACAGCTGGATGTGGACTTGATTTCATGACTTTTTGAGTTGCAGATAAACTTCCACACTTTCCAGGGGATAGTATCACTACTGTTTTAATCATGCTGTATTTGGGTACTTCACTTTTTGAAGTCTATCAGATGATATACCATCCTATATCACAACGCCTGAGACGTAGTCACTGTTGTTCCTGCTCCAGCCTCCTGGTAATGTGTACACTAAAAGGCAGCTAGTAATGGTTCAAGTACTTGAGTCCTTGCCATCCATGTGGGAGACCTGGCTGGAATTCCTGGCTTTGGCCTGGCCCAGCCCTTGCCATTGTAGGCATTTGGGCAGTGAACCAGTGGATGCGAGATTTCTCTGCCTCTCACTCTCTGTTACTCTTCATTTCAAATAAATAATAATAATAATAATAATAAACCAAACAATGGTGCCTATTTTTAAACAGATGGTTTATTTTGGTTCAAAAAATTTTGAAATTCATACACAGTTTTCTCATAATACATTTTTCAGTGAACTTTTTGAAGACTCCTCATCTTTTTGGGGATTAAATAGTATCTTTTGGGACATGCTTTGCCAGGTCTATAAATGATTCTTGAAGGTGGAAACTCATTGCTATCAAGTTCTACCAAATTATTTTCTGAAAGGAAATGGTACAGCACCACCAGACAGGGACTGACATGATTAGTAAGCAGTTGATCCAAATTGGAATTGACTGTAAAACAGGGACAGAGAAGTCAGATATAGGCCAAGTAAGAAGGCTGTGTTGGAGTGGGCATTTAGCTCAGGGGTTGAGATATGCACATCTGCATTGGAGTACATGAGTTTGACTTCTGGCTCTGGTTTCTGATTTCAGCTTCCTGAAAATATAGATCCTGGGATGCAGTGATGATGGCTCAAGTGATTAGGTTCCTACCACTAATGTGGGAGACCTGGATTGTATTCCTCCTGGCTTTGACTCTTGCCCAACCCTGGTCTTTGTAGGCACATGGAGAATGAACCAGCAGATAGGAATGCTCGCTTGCTCTCTCTCCGTCTCTCTCTCTCTCTCTCTCTCTCTGAGTCTAAAATAAACAAATAAGCAATTTTGAAATAGGAAGTGATGACCTCCCTTGGCACTCTGGTCTGTGATTATTTATCTGGAGACAGTCAAAGCAACAACTCAGACCTGTGGTCTTCCTACTAGAATGTGATGGGTGCAAGGCAGGGATTTTTCTCTGGTTAGGAAAGCAAGGTCAAACATCTGCATGTGGAAATCCAATTTTCCCAGCACCATTTGTTGAAGGTACTGTCCTTTTTCTAAGTACTGATTTTAGCTTTTTTTTTTTTTCTCAAAGTTTAGTTGGTTTTAGGTGCATGGATTAATTTCTGGGGTTACTATTCTGTTCTGTTGGTCTACACATCTATTTTTGTGTCAGTACCAGATTGCTTTGATTGTAACAGCTCTATAGTATGTCTTGAAATCTGGTATTGTGATCCCTCCAGTTTTGTTTATATTGTTTAAGGTTGCTTTGGATATTTGGATCTTCTGTGTTTCTATGTGAATTTTAGGAATTTTTTTTTCTGGTTCCTTAAAGAATGTCCTTCGAATTTTGATTAGGATTGTGTAGAATCCGTTTGTCACTTTGGGTAGTATGAACATTTTGGTGATATTAATTCTTCTAATCCATGAATATGGAAGATTTTTCCATTTTTTGTGTGCCTTTTCTATATCTTTCATTAATGTTTTGCAGTTTTTATTATATAGATCTTTCACATCTTTGGTTAACTGGATTTCCACATGTAGAAGTTTGGACAGACACCTACCTTACATCCTATACAGAAATCAAATCAACCATGCATCAAAGATCTAAGCTTGAAACTTAAAAATAATCAAATTACTAGAGGAAAACATACAGGGAAACATTGCCAGACATTGGAGTAGGCAAAAACTTCTTAGATAAGTCTCCAGAAGCTCAGGCAATAAAAGCAAAAATAGACAAATGGGATTACATCAAATTAAGAAGTTTCTGCACAGCAAAGGGAATAATTAATAAAGTGAAGAGGCTACTGACAGAATGGGAGAAAATATTTGCAAACTATGCTCTGATAAAGGATTAATATCCATTGTTATGCTTAGTGAAATAAGCCAGACTGAAACACAATATTGTGTTTTCTCTAATTGGTTGTATATAAAAAAATATAGAATATAAAAAAAATCAAGCTAAGCTATCATCTTGTGATTTGATTTTGTCTATAACCCCTGTCTATATCCTGCAGAACAGTGGCCTATTTTTTACTTGTAGAGCTCTTTGTTTAGAGGAGCATAGTCTATGAATATTAAGTCAATTTAAAGTATGAGATCACAAAAAATTAAAAAGAAAAAGGGAGAGAGAGAGGAAAGTATCATTGTATCCTTAGAAGCATATCTATGAAATTCATTAAATCTTTATATATTAAAAATTTAAAAATTAACAATCAAAAAATTTATATTAAAAAATCCAAATTCTGGAAAGAAAAAAAAAAGGGTTGATATCCAGAATATATAAGAAGTTCAGAAAACTCAACGAAACAATACAGTGAAGAAATGGGCAAAGGATATGAATAGGCATTTTTCAAAGGATGAAATACAAGTGGCCATAAGACACATGAAAAACTGCATAGGATCACTAAACGTCAGATAAATGCAAATAAAAACTACGCCAGTTAGAATGGCTATTATCCACAAACCAAAAAATAATGAATGCTTGTGAGATTGTGGAGAAAACGTATTCAAAAACACTTTTGGTGGGAATACAAACTGGTAAAACATACTGGAAAACAGTATGAAGTTTCCTCAGAAAGCTAAAAATAGACCTGTCATATGACACTGCTATCCCATCCCACTCCTGGGAATATATCCAGAGGAGATGAAATCAGCATATGAAAGAGATACCTGCAGTCCCATGTTTATAGCAGCTCAATTCACAATAGTAAAGATAAGGAATCAGCCTACATGTTCATCAACTGATGATTGGATAAAGAAATTGTCATATTTATACAAAATGGATTATGGACTTAACCATAGAAAAGAATGAAATTCTGACATTTGCACCAAAATGGATGGAAGTAAAGATCATTACGCTGAGTGAAATAAGCCAGATCCCAATAAATAAATACCACATATTTTCTGATTTGTAGTAGTTAATATATAGAGAATAAGAACCGAATGGATGTCATATCATTTAGTATTTGATTATATATATTGCTTTGCTGAATCATACCATGTAATTGAAAATGAACATTTCTCCACATTATGATCATTGTCATGAACCCCTCACTCTGTGATATTAATATCTCTGTTTTCAAGAAAAAATAGTATACATGTGTATGTATATAATGTCTACGTTTATTGTTGAAGTGAATGTGGCAAATGTTAAAAAATAGTAAAACAATAATAATAAAAAGCAAGGTCATGAGGGAGGATGGAAGGTAAAAAAGCAGAGTCCCTTCCTTTCTCTGTTTCTTTAAGCCTACCCCTACAGTAAATGCATGAATGCTAGCCCATAGCACAGATTAGCAACTCTTTGTGATAAAGACCCAGAACTCCCTGTGAAGAGGGATCAGATTCTGTGGCCCTTTTCGTGGGACCTTTCTTTGGTCCATGACTTGCTGGCAAATTCTTTCAATTATTGAATGCTGAATGCTGCTTTGTTTCACTAGATGGACTTTTACTTTAAGATTCTTATCTGGGACACATGCAGTCAGTGGAGAAAAATGCAAAACACTCTCTTTGGTCATTAATAAAGGGCCCTGAGGAAAAAGCCAAGGTAGCTTATGTTAATCATTAAACTCGCCCCATGGTCAATTCTGAACTTTTACTCTGGTACGTGTTTGGACAGGACACAAATGAGTTAGGTAAGTTATACTCCAGCATGAATTAGTTACCTGCATGGTAGCTGCCGACAAGGCTCTAGCTAGGTAACAGGATCAGTGGTTCTTGGTAGAGAGAAACAAAGATCATTTGGAGAGGAAAGGTAATTTCTCCCTTGAATCTCGAGACATAAACAGAAAAAGGTACCGTTCTCTCTTTCTGGGTATTGCATCTCTTGCTAATATTATGGTGAACAAAAGGAGGTGAGAGATCTATAGTAGCAACCTTGCAACTTCATCTCTCAAAGGTCTCAAAGGAGGGGAAAATGAACGAGGAGGGAAGGAGAAAGGAAAATGGAGTGCAAACCACAAGAGAAGAGAGAGGAGAAAGAAGACCTGCTTGAATGGACATAGCTATTTTCTGCAGTTGAAAGTTTTCTGGTTAAAGGAATAAAGGATTGTGAGTTTATCCTTAGGAAGGGTTAGTGAACTGATTAATTCACTTGAAGAAAATGACATTTGTTATTGATTGCTCTATTTTCGAGGAAAAGATGCAAGTTTGAAAATAGGTTTTCAAGAAATCAATGTGTGAATATTTGTTTTCATCGTTATAAGTTGGGAGTAGGCACTAAGATAAAATGTTAAAAATCATGTAGAAAATAGAATCATGTAAAAAACAGAATTTTCTGTGCTGAGTGTATTCTATTGGATGCAACAAGCAAGTCAAATCCTGTGCTTTTGGACTACGTAGTAAATACTCCTGGGTACTTTGTCTATGCAGTAGTTGTATCTCTAAAAATTGAATGTTTCTAACTTGAATTCTATTCCAATAGACCTAAAAGTGTAGGGCATTTTGTGACTTACGGGAACACTTGCTGAATCTACTTGTAAATTAGAGTTCTTTTTCAGAAATGCAAACAGCTTCCTGTTTGTGCACAAGTTAAGGACAGGCACACAGGTTATTTGTTTTCCAGATTCCTAGCACAGTATTCCCAGCATACAGTAGTACTATAATAAATATTTTCAATATTGAATTAAATATAAATGTATTATGGGCTCTCTTAATCAAGGCACACTTATCAGGTAAGTTTATTATGAGTTTTTGGGCAGATGTTCTTTTTCTGGGAGTTTACTGTGGCTTCTATCTTTTCTGAAATGATGTAATTACTTCTGTTTATCTCCACATTTTCTTTAAAAATTAAATGTCTATTGAGGGATACATGCATATATATAATTCTGCAATTTCTTGAACTTTAAGAGTATCCCAGAGCTAAGGTCTGTTAGAGGGTTTTGCTGATTCAAGCTGCCTGGGTTCTGGAGAACAGCTTAGCACTCTTGGACAGAGCAGTCATGAGGGTGTTATCCGAAGCGTGAGTTTTTAGCCAGGCTTCTGAGGATTCTGCCCATCCCACACGGATATGGAGGTCATCTCTCTCAGATTAGGTATGGCCAGATTTAGGGTGTTCACGTATGTATTCATTACTTAGAATTTACTGAGCATCGTGTGAGCCATCTGTAGTAAGAGGGTGTAGAAATGGGCCCCTGGATCTCTTCAAGGCATGTACTATGTTGAAGAGGCCTGTGTGTTACTGTGTTATCTGGTCCAGGTTCTACAGAGGTTTATTATTATTATTATTATTATTTTGAGGTGAGGGAGGTTGATGAGAATTGGAATGGCTGGGGAAAGATTCAGTGTGGGAAGTGGCCCCTAAGTTGGGCCAGGTAGGAGGGCCAGAATCTTGAAGAAAGTTTGGAGAAGCCAGGAAGGGAGCAGCAGGAGCTAAGGCAAAGGCTGATGTGTGCAAGGCTTGTCTGAGTGATGAGGAGAACAGTATGGTGACAGTACAGGGTTCAAGTAGGAGAACCATGGGAGGGAAAGCGGAAAAGCTAGGGCAAACAACGTAAAAACATACAGTTCCCCGAACCACATTAACTAGTATTTTAATAAATAGAATTTATTTTTAAAACTTCAGCTTTGATTCAGTTGATTAAAGAGGTTACTATTATTTAACCAGCTTAAAGATGCTGAAAATAAGCTGGTGAAACAAGAAAGGAGGAATGGTGATGACTGCATATAAAATTCTTAGATGGCCCCTTTCTACCAAGCTTAGAAAGACAGTGGGTCCCTTTGGAGACACTAGGACCATTTCTGTGTCATCTCCTTAATTTCTCAAGTTTCGATACAACAAAGTGATGGTATGGAAGCAAAAATGTTTGTAATTTTTACTTTATCTTTTATATAGCAGAACAGCTATGGTGCATCCATCAAAACAGAAAATGATCTTAATGTCTAAGAAATCTTGATTTAAGTAGACACAATGACTGGCTGGCTGATCTCTCTGATGAGTATTGAAGTACTGCTTTTGGCAGGTGAGTAGAATGTGTGTTGACAGGGTTACAGATAGGAACATCATACGTTCCCTTGAAAAATATTATTGATACTTAGACATGTACTTTCCACGTATCAATTGAAAAAATGAATTTATAAAGTTTATTTTGAGTGGCAGAGTTGAAGCATGTGCATCCAGATTTAAATTTCCTGCTTAACTTTTTTCCCGATTACTAGCTGAGGTTATGTACTAAACTGTTGTGAATATTTACTTAAACTTGTAATGGCCAGTGGAAATCGCTGTTGTACTTCAGCGCTTTTAATAATGACTTGTGAGCTTTCTTTCATAATCAGCTTTTGGACTTTGTGTTCTAATTCTTTTCAGATTTTACCGCTTTCTCTTCCCAAAAGGAGTAACTTATTTTGTCTTAGTGATTACTTCTTGTATTATAATGTCCTCTTCTCAAGCAATGTCTTCAACTTTCTCCGAATTTCTATTATACTCTGTTACATCTTCTTGTGGCATTGGTTTTTGGTCTTCTTGGTTAAAAATATCTAACCATCTCTGAGGCCTCTAGTTGGGAACTCCATGAATGGTTATGTTGATGTGACTCCATTACCTCAGGTGTGCAGTGTGCCACCTGTATAGCTGCACGTGGAAGTCATAGGCCAGCCACAGTCAGCATGGCCTGCATGAGCCTTTATCATTTTTTTTCTCATATAAAATTGACAGGTGTTCTATAGATAACACTTTCATTGCTTATTTCCTTACTGAGTGCCTGATGATTTTTGCTGATTTCCTTGAAATAGCTTTTCCTTTGCCAGGGCATGTCCCTGAACATCTTTAAAGATGGAAGGATTGATAATGGTCAAGCTCAGCTGATGGTCTGTATGGGAAGACTCAATCTACCCCAGCATGTGTAGTCAATAGGGCTTAGCTTTGTGTAAAGGAAACTCCTCCAGCAACGATCCACACACTGGTCCTGCTATGAGCAGGTGAGGCTAAAAGCTACAGAATTTCGCATCTGTCTGGGAATTCACTCTGATCACTTATTCCAGGAGAAAGTAGAGGATGGTGGATTAGGCAGGAAAAAACAAGTGGCAACTTCTACAATTAAATATGGTCAGCTGGTAAAAAGGTAGGAAAGAGAGGGAAGATACTATGAATTCAATTAGGGAACAAAGTGAGCCTCTTCCCAAAGGAAAATGAAATTCAGGATTGTCCTTGTGGGTACTAGGTTTTTGAATGTCTAAAACGAGAGGGCTAAGTCAGAGTTTTCCACAAAATCTGGATTCTGAAGGTGTGGTCCCCAGACCTGGGACACCAGATTAGAAATGGAAATTTGAGAGCTGGTCTCAAATCAACTGAACCAGATATTCTTGTAGCAGAGCTCATCATCTGCATTTGATCAAGCTCTTCTGGTCATTCTAATGCATGCTAAGTATTTATTTATTTATTTAATTTTATTTGAAAGAGTTACAGAGAGAGGTACAGACAGAGAGAGAGGTCTTTCATCTGCTGGTTCAATCCCCAAATGTCCACAATGACTGGCACTGGGCCAGGCCAAAGCCAGGAGACAGAATCTTCTTCCGGGTCTCCAACATGGGTGTAGGGACCCAAGGACTTGGGCCATCCTCTGCTGCTTTCCCAGATGCAGTAGCAGGGAGTGGAATCAGAAGTGGAGCAGCGAGGACTCGAACCAGCGCCCATGTGGGATGCCAGTGCCGCAGGGTGGGGTTTTAACCTGCTGCACCACAGCACTGGCCCTCTGCATGTTGTTTTACTTTAAAATGTTGGGGAAGCTACTGGATCAAGTTTGACCTTAAAAGCCACTGTTTTTCTCATTTATTGACAGTACCACACCTGACTTTACGTATTGAGCCCAAGGAAGGTAGCCTTGCAGGGGGAACGTGGATCACAGTTATTTTTGATGGTAAGTTTGAATTTTATCAAATGTGAATTTCTTAATGGACACACAATCCTAAAGAACAAAATTTGGTTTTCTTCCTTTTCTAAGAACAACTGTAAAAGAGGGACTGAAGGGAGAAGGACAGAGGGACTAACATCTTTCTCTCCAGATGCTCACTGGCTAATTCAGAAAAGCAGAACACTTGGTGATGCGTAACATCATAGGACTTTGACAATGTGTTCCCCAGAACCTTTGCTGTCTTCCTTATAGATAATTTTATACAAATGGGTCCCTGACTTACAATGTTTTTTAAAATTTGTACACTTATTTGTGAGGCAGAGAGACTGAATGAGCAAGTGAGCTCTCGTTTATGGATTCGTTCTCCAAATGGCTGCAATGGCTGGGCAAGGCTGAAGTCAGGGGCCAGGGATGCCTTCCAGGTTTCCAGTATGGGTGGTAGGGAAAAATCCATTTGAGCCACCATCTACTTGCTGCCTACCAAGGTGTACAGTAACAAGAAGCTGGAATCAAAAGCAAATCCACGTGTCAAACTAAGGCACTCTGATATGGGATATGGGTATCTTAATTGCTGTGCCAAATACTTATTCCTATAATGGTTTGACTTCTGATTTTTCAACTTCATTATAGTGTGGAAGCAATACAGATTTGGTAGAAATTATACTTTGAGTTTTGAATTTTGATGCTTTTCCTGGATAGCAATATGCAGTACACATACTTTCATGGTGCTGGGTGATGGCAGTGAGCCACAGCTCCCTATTGGCCATGCAATCAGAAGGGTTAGCAACCAATTCTCTACAGTGTGTGATGTTTCACAGGTGAGGTGTATTGATTGTATTTTGACCAGGTATTCTCAACTCTTTTCAACTTAAAAAGGGTACATGGAGATGTAACCCAGTGAAAAGGGATGGGTTCTATGTTGTGGACTTTCTAAACCACAGTCTAGCATTCCTGTCTCCCATACAATGCAAAATAACTTTCAGGGATGAAACATTTCTTGGATTTAGGTAGACCTAAAGAGACAAAAATCCCTTTATAAATCCATAAGTTAGAATATCCCAATAGATAGCAGCCATAAATGCCTTTGGAAAGGAGTAATGTTACTTTAATCCTTAGGTAAATTTAGCATAAATTACATTGTCCCTATATGGCCATGTTTTGACATTACCCTGAGTGTATCATAAGTCTGGTTAGCTGAGATTTCCCCTTTTCCTTTGTATTTAGGTTTGGAGACAAGTGTCCTTTATCCCACCAATGGCTCTCAGCTGAAGATACGCCTGGTGAACATGGTGGTGCCTGCATTGCCCAGTGTCCCCTGTGATGTCTTTCCTGTCTTCTTGCAGTTGCCTGTGGTGAAATGCCAGACCAGGTGCCTGTCTGGGAATAGGAAGACCAGACAGGATGAGCATATGAGTGCTTGTCTTAGTAGCCTTTGGTGATGTGTTAGGGAAACTCCTACTGCAATTAATTACCAGTTATAGTTCTCTTTCCTTCTCTCCCCTCCCCTCCTCTCCTCTTCTCTTTTCTCTCTCTCAAATCAGAATTATTGAAGGAGAAGGACACACACACACACACACACACACACCCTGAGAAAGAGAAAGAGAGAGAGCTTCCATCCACTATTTCACTCCCTAAATGGCTGCAATGGCCAATGCTGGGCCAGGCCGAAGGCAGGAGCCAGGAGCTTCATGTGGTCTCCCACATGAGTGTCAGAGGACCAAACACTTGCGCCATCTCTACTGCTTTCCCAAGGCCATTAGCAGGGAGCTGGATCAGAAGTGGAGCATGAATTGGCACCCATATGGGATGCTGATGTTGCGGGGTGTGACTTTACCCACTATACCATGACGCTGGCCTACAGCTATAGATTTTGAAAATATTCCATGTGAATATCATCCTTTAAAGGTCCCTGTGTGGTTCTAGGGCTTAAGGAAGGATGACAATATGGAGAAAAATTTTGAGATGTTTTTAAGGAGGGATTGGATTTTGTTTATGATCTTACGATTTTTTTTTTTTTTTTGCAGAGTGCTCTATGGTTCTTAAGCTTTCAATAAATGGTACCATTTTGCAATTTGAGCACTAACTGTTTTGAATATGCATAATAGTAATGATTGTGCATAAACCCTAAGCCAGTTAGAAAGGAAATTTGCTTTTAGCTATGCTACATTTGATATTATCTCTGTTTGGAACACATTTGTATAAGGTTGCAGACAATCTATTGTTCTACTCAGGTTTTTGTGAGGGTTACACTATTTCCTGCTTTGTTAACTCATGTGTTAGAGTGGCTGGAGGGAAGTAGAACATTGGTGAAGAGAAAGAACAATGACATTTCCTTGAGTTCCCTCTTTCAGGAAGACTCCCCATCTTCCATTTTTGCCTGTTGAAATTTACACTGTGAATTCCATCTCTTCCCTGAGCATTCAGCTGAGGATAATCTTTTCTTTATTTGAAAGGGGAGAAAGGAACACCTTTTAGTACTTCATCCACACACACATTTTCTTTGTAATTTATCATACTGAAAGAAATTATTTTTTTGTAATTTACACAAAGGCACAGTGTGTGTAACTTCAGTGACACTTTTTCAGCCTGTGTTTTCATGACACTTGTCATGTTCATCCTCGTAGAATTAAGTGCTTTGAAGGCAGGGGATAAATTTGATTTCACCATATTCACCCTTTGGTGGACTGCACAAGATGTTACAAATAGAAGATGTTTGCCGGCGCCGTGGCTCAATAGGCTAATCCTCCACCTTGCGGCGCCGGCACACCGGGTTCTAGTCCCGGTTGGGGCGCCGGATTCTGTCCCGGTTGCCCCTCTTCCAGGCCAGCTCTCTGCTATGGCCAGGGAGTGCAGTGGAGGATGGCCCAGGTGCTTGGGCCCTGCACCCCATGGGAGACCAGGAAAAGCACCTGGCTCCTGGCTCCTGCCAGGATCAGCGCGGTGGGTGGATTCCAGCGGCGGCCATTGGAGGGTGAACCAGCGGCAAAGGAAGACCTTTCTCTCTCTCTGTCTCTCTCTCTCACTGTCCACTCTGCCTGTCAAAAAAAAAAAAAAAAAAAAAAAAAAAAAAAAAAACAAATAGAAGATGTTCATTAAATGTTAGTTGAGTAAGGGGTCAGCATTTTGACACAGCAGGTTAAGCTTCTGTCTATGATGCTAATAACCCAGATGAGTACCAGTTCCAGTTCCAGCTGCTCCACTTCTCGTCCAGCTGCCTGCTCATGTACCTGGGAAAACAGTGGAAAATGGCCTATGTGCTGGGACCCCTACACCCATGTGGGAGACCTCAATGAAGCTCCAGTCTTCTGGCTTCAGCCTGGTCCATTCCCTGCTGTTGCAGTCATTTGTGGGGTGAACCAGTGGATGGAAGATCTCTCTCTCTCTCTCTCTCACTCTTTCAGAAAAAAAGAAAAAAAGTTGTTGTTTGAAATTCTTTATAGCATTATTATTAGTTTTAAACCCTAATTTACTTCAAAACATTTGTGGAAGTTGGAATTAAAAGATGAGTTTACTTTGGTACAAAATTATTTTGAAATCAATTCAGAGTATTTTCATAAAGTACATTTCCATGAACTGTTTTAAGAATCCTTCTATGCTTTGTTAAGTTTTATGGCATTTTAAAAAAAGATTTATTTATTTGAAAGGTAGAGTTACACAGAGGCATAGGCAGAGAAAGAAGTCTTCCACCTGCTGGTTCACTCCCCAAATGGCTGCAGTAGTCAGAGCTAAACTGATCTGAAGCCAGGAGCCAGGAGCTTCTGCTGGGTCTCCTACGTGGGTTCAGGGGCCCAAGCATTTGGGCCATCCTCTACTGCTTTCCCAGGCCATAGCAAAGAGCTGGATTAGAAGTGGAACAGCCAGGACTTGAACCGGCGCCCAGATGGGATGCTGGTGCCACAGCCAGAGGCTTAGCCCACCATGACACAGCACCAGCCCCTTTTATGGCATATATATATATATATATATATATATATATATTTGACAGATAGAGTTAGACAGTGAGAGAAAGAGACAAAGAGAAAGGTCTTCCTTCTGTTGGTTCACCCCCAAATGGCTGCTATGGCCGGAACTACGTGGATCCAAAGCAAGGAGCCAGGTGCTTCCTCTTGGTCTCCCATGAGGGTGCAGGCACCCAAGCACTTGGGCCACCCTCCACTGCCTTCCTGGGCCACAGGAGAGAGCGGGACTGGAAGAGGAGCAGCTGGGACTAGAACCCGAAGCCCATATGGGATGCCAGCGCCGTAGGTGGAGTATTAGTTTATGGCATATCTTAACATAGACTTCCTGCAAGAACTTTCTATAAAATAAGCTAAAGCCATAAAGATTTTTGTGTCCTATCTACTTACTTCCAATTAGGATGTACCATTTATGTTGTATCATCCTTTTAGAGAAAAAGAAATACTACTCTCTTAAATATATTAATTGATTAAATATGACTATAAAGTTAAATTAACATTCAGGTATAAAAAATATACAGTTTATTAATAATGAAATGCTGGCATGCTTATCATATAAAAAGGCAAAACAGCCCATATGTGACTAAAACCAACACTGCCCAATCAAGATACAATATGAACACAAATGTACTTTGAAATTTTCTAATAGCCACATTAAAAGGTCCAAAGAAACAAGAGAAATTAATTTAAAAATATATTTTATGTAACTCAATATTTTCCAAATATTTTTATTTCAACATGTAATTATGTTTATTATTAATGAGATATCTTAGATCCCTTTTTTGCATACCAACTCTTCAAAATCTAGTGTGTATTTTATGCTTCTAGTCTATATTAATTGGAGCTATCCACATTTCAAGTGCTTAGTAAACACATAATACTAGTTGCTAACACAATAGACACTTCATATTTAAATATTTAAAGTCATACTGAAGATTTTGTTGGGAAGATTTGGCAAAGAAGCATAGCTTAAATCTAGCTTTATTCTTACTCATCATATCTTCCCTATGACAAAAATCCATTGTGGATGGCAGCCTCAGAGTGGCAAAGAGGCCACTGTGATATCTATGCAAAGAGAGAAGAACTAAGTCCCTTTGTCTTGATGGACACATGAGATGTTTAGCAGCTTCTTGGAAGATGAAGATTCATTATTGCTATTTTTGGAAACAAGTAAGATCAATACCTTTTATGAGAACTAGGATTCAAGCCCCCTTTTATCCTGACCCTTTGGTGTTCATGCACATAAGTTAATCTATCTATAACTGTCATTTCTAAAAGATAGAAACTGGGATGAGAGTATCTATCAAAGTACCTTCTAATTCTTAAATGCCTATGAATTGATGATTCTGAGAAATGGGACTCTCCCCTCCCCCGAAACCTTGTAAGAAATAGGATTTTTGTTTCTCTTAAATTTTAGAGACTTTTCAAATGACATTGCTTTTCCTGAAGGATCCAGTCTTTGAAGTCTTTGCAGCACAGTGGGTAAAGACGCCACCTGCAGTGCTGACATCCTTTATGGGCGCCGGTTCAAGTTCCAGTTGCTCCACTTCCGATCCAGCTCTCTGCTGTGGCCTGGGAAAGCAGTAGAAGATAGCCCAAGTCCTTGGGCCCCTGTACCCACGTGGGAGACCCGGAGGAAGCTCTTGGCTCCTGGCTTCAGATCGGCACAGCTCCTACCGTTGTAGCCATCTGGAGAGTGAACCAGCGGATGGAGGATCTCTCGCTCTCTCTCTCTCTCTCTCCCCCTCTCCCTCTCCCTCTCTCTCTCTCTCTCCCTCTCTCTCTCTCCCTCTCCCTCTCTCTCTCTGCCTCCCTCTCTCCCTCCCTCCCTCCCTCCTTCTCTCTCTGTGTAACTCTGACTTTCAAATAAATAAATCTTAAAAAAAAAAAAAAAAGAATGGATCTAGGAAGTGAAAGGTAGGATGTAATACTGTTTGATTAGCTCTGTTCTACAAGCAAACAGGAAGAAAACTGGAAGTGATTAAATGAGCTGCTAGCTTTTGGAATTAGTGTTTTTTGATTCATAAGAGTTTCCAATTTCTGCCTTCAGATCTCTGCTTTCCGAAACCCATGAAGGTCTATACTCTTTGGAAGTGCATTCTGAGGGACAGGTGTTAGATAATCCAAGTCCAGTATCAAAAGACAGCTGTACTTTCAAGGTGAGTTTTACAGATGGAAGAATGTTTTACACACACATACAGAATTCCAGACAGACAGATGTAGAGAGAGACAGAGATATTTTCTGTTTATGGTTTACTCCCCAAATGGCCACAATGGCCAGGGCTGGGTCAGGCTGAAGCCTGGAGCCTGGAACTGCACCTGGTTCACCCACATGGATGACAGGGGCCCAAGCACTTGGGCCATCTTCCACTGCTTTTTCAGGTGCATTCCCAGAGTGCTGCATTGAAAATGGAGCAACTGGGACTCGAACCAGAGGACACATGATATGCCAGAATCTCATGCAGCAGCTTAACCTGCTGCACCACAATGCCAGCCCCAGGATGATGGAATGTGTATTTTCTTAGTCTGAGGGTATGCTTGTGTTACCAACACTCAAGTTGTAAATTAGCCAGAGTCTGTTTGAAAGAGTAAGAAGAAAGTTTGTGATACAGCTTCATAGACTATACTATGATTAAAGACAAGTGTTGAACCTTTGTATGTCAGGCTGTAGCTGTTTATGTAATTGTCCAATTTAATGCTCACAAAAATTTTATGGGTGGATATTCATTATTCTGTTCCAACATATGCACAATTTGGGGCTCAGGGAGATTAACTAGTTTGCCCATGTCCTGTCGGTGATAAAGGACAGAACCAGGATTTGAACCTTCACCTTGCTTTAAATGCCACCTAAACTGAACCTCACAGAGGAACCATAAAGGCTGTCTTTATGCGATCATGCCAAGTCTCAGGATAGTGAGGGTCCTCAGAGACCCAAGTTCTAATTCTCCCTCTGCTTTATGATAGCTTTCCGCTACTCTTTGCAACACCAAACTCTGAGGCTGTATGCTGGTGGAATACTTCATGCTCAGATAAACTGAAAGGGAAGCAGAGAGAGAAGTAACAGAAGCAGAGAGAGTTTAGAAGGCCAATATTGACTTATTTTAAAGCCTCATTATCTATACTGTAGCTTCAGTTTATATTTTGTTTAGTTCATTGGCCAATTCAGGTTAGTTTTTTTTTTTAACCAAAGAAGAATCTCGGGATGGGTAGGTCCTAGACTTTTCATAAAAAGCAAAAAGCTTTTCAGTACTCTTACTTGATCTGATTGTTCTTCACATAGGGTGCTTCTGTTAAGAGCTGTTCCAAGGAGTATAATTTAGTCACTAATCCATGCCCCTTGAGAACAAGACTTCACCATCTGACTTCATCTCTAAAATGGCCCCCATTTTATATAGCAATTTGTGTTTGAAATTTAATGTTTGCTGTTGATTCACATCTAACACTTTGTTTCTCAGTTAAGAGACCCCTGTTTTCTGGAAATTTTGCTTCTGCACATATGCAGCAGGAAGCAAAAAAACCAAAATCATTCTTATTAAGACCTATCCACCTATCCACTGTCTCAGGGAATGTAACAGAAGAGATACGGCTGAAAATGTTTCATCACACCATGTTTCTCTTCATCCCAGTAGTAGTTTTCCTACTTATTGAAAGATCAGTAAGGAGAGAGAAAGGGGAAAAGAAGAGAAACATATCCTAAAATTGCACATCAAAGAAACAAGTCCATGAGCAGTTTTCCTAGCTGGGGGAATTGGAAAATCACCAGGCGATGCAGTTAACGAGAGGCATCCCAAGCTCAATGTAATACAGTGTGTCTCTTCGTTTTGGGACTCGGACTCAGGGAACCGCACATATGAAAAATTAATTCCACCTTGCCAGTCCACTCCAGAGAGCCTGCTGTGGGCGCTGACAAGTTTGCACAACTCATGGAAGGTTTATCAAGCAGCTGGTGGCTGTGGCTTTGCTGTTCTAATCTGCTGTTTTCCTCTCTCCTTCTTGGTGTTGCTAACCTCACTTGGGCTCAAGGATCAGCATGCAGGAAGCTTGATTTGGAAGCTCATTAATTTTTCACTTTGTCATGTCTCTAGCTTGGTGAATAACTAGGAGCCTGTTTCTCTTAGAAATGTACGATTTTTATGTTGTGTTGGCTCAGAGAGAATCACAAGTGAAGCCCTTTTTGAAGCTTCAACCTGAGTCTGCCTCACTACTATGAGGAGTTGGATGGAATGATAAAGGAGTGGCAGTATTCCCCACAGACTTTAGTGGAAGGATTAGATCTTACACGTCAAGTCTGAAATCAAGAGATATGCTTCCTTATTTGATTTGGGCTTGGTTGTGCCAACTGCCTTGGTTTCTAACATCTGTGAGAGAGGACAATGACCACCACTTCACTTCACTAGGCTCTTCTGGTAAAGTTCCAACTTGAGGGAGGTAAAGTCATGGGTGCAAAAGTTGACTGGAAGGGTGGAGTGGGGACTGAATGTTTGGCAAGTGTGCATGAAACTCTATTAATCTTTAGCTTTTGGTGGGATCAGGGCCAGCTCCCAATCTGTGAAATCACAGCATTCTTATTTTGACTTCGGACTGTACACATTTTCTGTGAACTATTTTCTAATCCTTTCCTTTAGAAAGTGAGGAAACTAGCCTTGATAGCAGGCCATACAGCCAAATGGATCAATAGTTAACGCCCCACCTGTCAAGTCGCCATCAGCTTTGTAGACAAATCTGTCGATTGTCAATGACTGATTAGGGCTGTTGATTAACAGTGAAGTTATCTTTTGGTGATATTCTCGCCTGGAAATGTAGACTGCTAAGGTGCTGGAAGAAGACCAAACTAAACAGTTTGCTGCAATATGTTTGCCAGTGGGAAGCACTATGGGTTGTGTGGAATGTAGGCATTCCAGGGATCTGGGAAGAGGTGGGGATGACTGGATATCCCTGGGTGAGTTGTTGGCTCATGGTTCAAATCTTTGTCAGGTCAGTCTGTCCTTCTGATTCTCCATTTCTTCAGATGAGCCACTATGTGATTTCCTGATGTAGTAATGACCTGATCTCTGACTAACCTAGATTCTTACAGGTGAGATGGAATTCTGGCATAGTTTCATTCCCTACTCTCCTTCCAGGTAGTATATCAATAATCTCAGATCAAGATACCCCAGTCTTTCACAAAATTAAATGTCTTCTACATACCAGACTCTGCGCAGGGTTTACCAGCAACTGAGTCAGGCATTGTCTCTGCCTTCATTGAACTCATTATGAGCTTCAGGAGGAGGATCAGTGTAAATGGATTTGGAGTGTCACAACCAGGCTTTCCCAGGATCTCACCTCTCCATCAAAGTTGCTTTCCACTTGCTTGAAGAAAAATGTTACTTTCCATTCCTTGAATTTTTTGAATAATTTTCCTCTCAATTGGTACCTTCTGTTTCTTCAACAAGCACCTTTCTCATGTTCCCATTCAACTTTCCACTTTTTTTGTCGTTTGCTGATGCCTAACAAAGTTCTGGCTGATAATGATTTAAGTGAGTCCTCCCAATTAAATAAGTGAATTCTTTTCTAGAAAAATTAAAATCTTCACGACCTAAAGACATCAAATTACAATAGTGAAGTGAAAAGTTAACATTCTGGATGATAGTGTGCCTATCTTTCCTTCTGTTAAAACATGCTATTGGGTATGTTAGGTGGGCCTGTAGAAACAGGCTTGCCAGGGTTTAGAAAACTTGATGCAGGTTAGGGAGCTATATGACCTTGATCAAATTCTGTTCACCTCATCTATAGAAGAAATAGAATAATACCAGTCATCTGTGCATCATAGAAATATTATGAAAATAAAAGGAAGTAGGTTTGAAGGTGATTTAAGGAAACATAAACATTTGCTTCCTTAACCCTATGTTTTATGAGGAATGGCTTGTGCTTCTTGTGTTTGTGGTATTCTAATGAAATGCTCACTTGTGATTATCCCTATTTTCTAAACAGTTTTCCAAGGCACAGACACCCATTGTTTACCACGTTAATCCATCAAGTGGAGTTCCAGGTAAGAAATCTTTTAAAGTAAGAATAGTTGTAAATCCTGTCACCAAAACTTATTGTAAACTCTTCTACCTGGGTGGTTAGTCTCTGTAAGTGGGAAAATTTAGCTGCTCCTATGTTGCTTTTTTGAAAATAAGTTTCAATCTCTAGATCATTTTTAACCTGATTTGGTTTTACCCCGGGTACTTTTATTCTATTACTTCACTGATAACAAAAAGAATCTAAACACAAAAAGAAAAAGAGACCAACAATTTCAAACCAGCTGATATTGGAGGAAGGAGGAAATATAAGTCATAATTCGTCTTGATTTTGTAATCATCCACACATTTTCTTTGGACTCTGTGTACCAGGTTACATTCTAGGCTTTGCACATACATTAATTCATTAGATTCTCACAAAACCTTAATAAAATCACAGATGTTGTAATTCCCATTTTGTAGATGAGGAGATGAGGTAGCAAGAGGTAAAGTAATTTGCTTATAGTCATAGAGGTTGTAGAGATATTAAATGGTATAGCTGTTATTTGACTCAGACAGAGTCCAGAGTAGTCCGAACACCCACAGCTTTATCTTGTGTTGAGGTGAGTTGGATATCACCTGAAGACTATTAGCCCTGATTTTCATCCAGGGGATTTGTTTGTGCATTAGAGAGCACACAGTTTTACAAGAAGATTTATTTTGAAATTCTTGACCAGTCAAGCTAATCAAAACAATAAGTTCAATTTATGCATTTTGATGCAACTATAGATATAGTTATATTTATATCTCTAACTGTAACTATAGATATAGATATGGAAAGAAGATTCTGTAAAGCTGCAGATTTATACAAAAAGAGAACAGACTACAACTCAGAAATAGATTCAGGAATGCTAAATCTGTTTTAACATTGGATGATAAACATGGCTAGGATTATATATAGTTTGCTGACTGATTCTTCATAAATGTATACTTCTATTCCAGGCTTTAAAAATATTTTATTTTACTTATTTTTTGAGATAATTTTTTAAAAATTTGTTTGATTGGCAAAGTTCCACACATACACACACACACACACACACACAGAATGAGAGAGCGAGAGCGAGAGCGAGAGCGAGAGCGAGAGAAAGAAAGAAATCTTCCGAGCCGGCGCCGTGGCTCAATAGGCTAATCCTCCACCTTGCGGCGCCGGCACACCGGGTTCGAGTCCCGGTTGGGGCGCCGGATTCTGTCCCGGTTGCCCCTCTTCCAGGCCAGCTCTCTGCTATGGCCAGGGAGTGCAGTGGAGGATGGCCCAGGTGCTTGGGCCCTGCACCCCATGGGAGACCAGGAAAAGCACCTGGCTCCTGGCTCCTGCCAGGATCAGCGCGGTGCGCCGGCTGCAGCGGCGGCCATTGGAGGGTGAACCAACGGCAAAAAGGAAGACCTTTCTCTCTCTGTCTCTCTCTCTCACTGTCCACTCTGCCTGTAAAAAAAAAAAAAAAAAAAAAAAAAAAAAAAAAAAAAAAAAAGAAATCTTCCATCTGCTAGTTCATGCCCCAAATGGCCACAACAGCTGGGTCTGGTCCAGGCAAAAGCCAGGAGCCATGAGCTTCTTTCAGGTTTTTCACATGGGTGCAGGGATCCAAGGACTTGAACCATCTTCCACTGCTTTCCAAGGCATATTAGCAGGGAGCTGGATTGAAAGAGGAATAGCCAGGACTCAAACTGGCATGCATATGAAATGCCAACATTATAGACAATGGCTTAATCCACTATGTCACAGTGCCAGCCTCCAGATTACATATTTTTAATTTACATTATTGTCAAAGGCTTATTGGCTCCACTACACAAAGAGTTCAACAGATAAAAAGTAAAAAGACCATAGTCCAGCAGAAGAACAGGCATGAGCTATATACAATAATCAAAGGCAGGTTTTCAACTTCATTCATATACATTAAATTTTAAAACAGTCAAAACATTATTAAAACGATAGGAGTATATAATTCCTATCAATTTGTTTGACAAGTATTTAAAATATAGTTTGATAAAAAACAGGGTTTTCATTTGTTTAGAGATTCCAAAATGATATAATTGTAGAAACACAAGTGTTAAATTTATAGTTGCATCAAAATGCATAAATTGAACTTATTGTTTTGATTAGCTTGACTGGTCAAGAATTTAAAAATGAATATATAACTTATTGAAAAGTACACATTTTGTGAATGTATGTGTATAAATTCAGACTTTAGATATGTGTATTTAAATTGTATTCTGAAGGGTATGAATTTGGCATTATCTTATTCATCTGGGTTTTACATAGGTTTGTTCTCTTCTATTTGCATAATCAAGACATAATAGTTTTTTATGAAAAAGAGATGTGGTCTGTGAAAATCACATGCAGACATTTTGATTCCTGCTGTTCTGGGGGTAGAAAAATCCTGTTTAGATGGCAGCAGTCTTATTAGGATGAGGGATGAGGAAGGAGTCAGCCATTTGAGGTGTGAAATAGGATGTCAGCTGGCACCCAGATCTGTCAAGTCCATTTCTCTCACCAAGCTGGAGTTCTGAGAACTATCTCCTCCACCTTGTGGGAGAAGGATTGGAGGTTGTCCTGGCTGGAGTGGTCCCGCCAGGCAGGATCCACACGGCTACATCTTTCCAATGTCTTTCCAGATGATTGCTCTCATTTCATTTGGGAAGCCTGCTAAGAGTATCAGCCAGGGAGATGGGGAATGTGGAGGAGGCAGGCAAGACAACATTTTATGAGCAGTGAAATTTCTATATGTGGTTAACAGTCCTTCACTGTGATGCAAAATCCCCTGGTACCATGGTCTGACTTAGTCATTCATCAGTCTCAGGGTTTGGCTTCTTTATTTAGAAACAAAACAAAAACAAGAATTGATAATGTCTAAAATCCATTATTAGTTTTTTAAACTTTTATTTAATAAATATAAATTTCCAAAGTATAACTTCTGGATTATAGTAGCTTTTTCCCCCCATAACCTCCTTCCCATCCACAACCATCCCATCTCCCACTCCCTCTCCCATCCCATTCTTCATCAAGATTAATTTTTAATTATCTTTATATACAGACGATCAAATTGGTATATACTAAGTAAAGATTTCAACAGTTTGCACCCACACAGATACACAAAGTATAGAGTACTGTTTGAGTACTAGTTTTACCGTTAATTCACATAGTACAATGCGTTAAGGACAGAGATCCTACATAGGGAGCAAGAATACAGTGACTCCCATTGTTGATTTAACAATCAATGCTCTTATTTATGACTTCAGTAATCACCGAGGCTCTTGTCATGAGCTGCCAAAGCTATGGAAGCCTCTTGAGTTCACAAACTCCAACCTTATTTAGACAAGACCATAATCAAAGTGGAAGTTCTTTCCTCCCTTCAGAGAAAGGTACCTTCTTCTTTGATGGCCCGTTATTTCTGCTGGGATCTCACTCACAGAGATCTTTCATTTAGGTCATTTTTCTTTTTCTTTTTTTTGCCAGAGTGTCTTGGCTTTCCATGCCTGAAATACTCTCATGGACTTTTCAGCCAGATCCAAATGCCTTAATGGCTGATTCTGAGGCCAGAATGCTGTTTAGGGCATCTGCCATTCTATGAGTCTGCTATGTATCCTGCTTCCCATGTTGGATCACTCTCTCCTTTTCAATTCTATCAGTTATTATTAGCAGTCACTAGTCTTGTTTGTGTGATCCCTTTGACTCTTCATCCTATCATTATGATAAATTATGAACTGAAACTGATCACTTGGACTAGTGAGATGGCATTGGTACATGCCACCTTGATGGGATTGAATTGGAATCCCCTGGCATGTTTCTAGCTCTACCATTAGGGGTAAGTCCGATTGAGCATGTTCCAAACTGTACATCTCCTCCCTCTCTTATTCCCACTCTTATATTTAACAGAGTTCACTTTCCAGTTAAATTTGAACACCTAAGAATAATTGTTTGTTAATTAAAGAGTTCAACCAATAGTATTAAGTAGAACAAAAAAATACTAAAAGGAATAAAATAGTAAGTTGTTCTTCGACAATCAGGACAAGGGCTGATCAAGTCACTGTTTCTCATAGTGTCCATTTTACTTCTACATGTTTCCTTCTAGGTGCTCAGCTAGTTGTCACAGATCAGGGAGAGCATATGATATTTGTCCCTTTGGGACTGGCTTAATTCACTCAGCATAATGTTTTCCAGATTCCTCCATCTTGTTGAAAATGACTGGATTTCATTGTTTTTGACTGCTGTATAGTATTCTGTAGAGTACATGTCCCATAATTTCTTTATCCAGTCTACTGTTGATGGGCATTTGGGTTGGTTCCAGGTCTTAGCTATTGTGAATTGAGCTGCAATAAACATTAAGGTGCAGACAGCATGTTTGTTTGCCAATTTAATTTCCTTTGGGTAAATTCCAAGGAGTTGGATGGCTGGGTTGTATGGTAGGGTTATCTTCAGGTTTCTAAGGGATCTCCAGACTGACTTCCATAGTGGCTTAACCAGTTTGCATTCCCACCAACAGTGGGTTAGTGTCCCTTTTCCCCCACATCCTTGCCAGCATCTGTTGTTAGTTGATTTCTATATGTAAGCCATTCTAACCAGGGTGAGGTGAAACCTCATTGTGGTTTTGATTTGCATTTCCCTGATTGCTAGTGATCCTGAACATTTTTTCATGTGTCTGTTGGCCCTTTGGATTTCCTCTTTTGAAAAATGTCTATTGAGGTCCTTGGCCCATCTCTTAAGTGGGTTGTTTGTTTTGATGTTGTGGAGTTTCTTGATTTCTTTGTAGATTCTGGTTATTAATCCATTATCTGTTTCATAGTTTGCAAATATTTTTTCCCATTTCTGTTGGTTGCCGCTTCCCTTTCCTGACTGTTTCTTTTGCAGTGCAGAAACTTCTCAATTTTATGCAATCCCAAATGTTAATTTTGTCTTTGACTGCCTGTGCCTCCGGAGTCTTTTCCAAGAATTCTTTGCCTGTGCCTGTATCTTGCAGGGTTTCTCCAATGTTCTCTAATAATTTGATGGTATTGGGTCATAGATTTAGATCTTTAATCCATGTTGAGTGGAGTTTTGTGTAAGGTATAAGGTAGGTGTCTTGCTTCATGATTCTGCATGTGGAAATCCAGTTTTCCTAGCACCATTTGTTGAATAGACTGTCCTTGCTCTAGGAATTGGTTTTAGATCCTTATTCGAATATAAATTGGCTGTAGATGTTTGAATTGATTTCTGGTGTTTCTATTCTGTTCCATTGGTCTCTCCATCTGTTTCTGTACCAGTTCCATGCTATTTTGATTATAACTGCCTGTAGTATGTCCTGAAATCTGGTACTGTGATGCCTCCGGCTTTGTTTTTGTTGGACAAGATTGCTTTAGCTATTCGAGGTCTCCTGTGCCTCCATATGAATTTCAGCATCATTTTTTCCAGATCTGAGAAGAAGGTCTTTGGTGTTTTGATTGGTATTGCATTCTAGCTATAAATTGTTTTTGAGAGAATGGATATTTTGACGATATTGATTCTTCCAATCCATGAGCATGTAGATTTTTCCATTTTTTGGTATCTTCTTCTATTTCTTTCTTTAAGGTTTTGTAATTTTCATCGTAGAGATCTTTAACGTCCTTGGTTAAGTTTATTCCAAGGTATTTGATTGTTTTTGTGGCTATTGTGAATGGGATTGATCTTAGAAGTTCTTTCTCAGCCATGGCATTGCCTATGTATACAAAGGCTGTTGATTTCTGTGCATTGATTTTATATCCTGCTACTTTACCAAACTCTTCTATGAGTTCCAATAGTCTCTTAGTAGACTTCTTTGGATCCCCTAAATAAAGAATCATATCGTCTGGGAAGTTTTCTGCTAGTATCTCACTAAAAAGGCCTCCTAATCCTTTCTCTTTCTCCGTGCCTTCAGGAACTCCTAGAATCCCAATGTTGGATTTTTTAATAGTATCCTGTAGATTCTCAACAATATTTTTCAGATTTCTAATTTCCTCTTCTTGTCTTTGGTTTGACTGTATACTTTCCTGTGCTCTGTCTCCTAAGTCTGATATTCTCTCTTCTGCCTCACTGATTCTGTTTTTAAGGCTTTCAACTGTTTTTTATTTGTTCTATTGAATTCTTCATTTCATTTTGATTTCTCTTCAATATCTCAATTTCACGTTCTATTAAATTCCTTATATAATTTTGATTCCTCCTTAAGAGTTCATTTTCATGACAGAGATTTTTTGTCATGTTCTGCATTGATTTCAGTAGTTTATCCATTTGTTTTTGGTTACTTCTGAACAATCTTACCATAAATTTTTTGAGTTCCATTTCTTCTATCTTGCCGTCTTCATAATCTTATATTGATGTGCCATGTTGTTTTGGGAGCATCATGTTGTCTTCCTTGTTCTTGTTTCTTTGGTTGTTGCGTTTGTTGTTAGGCATTTGTAATTGGACTGTCTGCTTTCAGTGACTCTCTAGAGGCTTGTGGTGGGTGTAGCCAGAGAGCTCTCTTCAGTTCTTCAAGGTTAAGGGTGTGCCTAAGGTGACACACCCAGGTTTGGCATGGTAAATCTCTCTCTCTCTCTCTCTCTCTCTCTCTCTCTCTCTCTTAAATAAGAAGTGAAGTGATTCTGCTCAGCTGAGCTCTTTTCCTCAATGGTGATCAGTGCCTGAAGGCTAACCCCAGTGGGTATAATATTCATGTGCTCTGTCCCAAGGACCACACAAAGGATCTGTGCAGTCCTCAGTGTAAGCTGATTCCCCTGCTATGTCTCTCACCAGGTAGCCAGGGCTACCTGAGCTTATGGCGTCTCCCACCAAGACTACTCAAGTCTCAGCCACACTGTGAGTTCTCCCACATACCCTCATTTTTTTTTTTTTTTTCACAGTCGTGGTTCAGAAACTCCACACATTCACCAGGTCTTAGTCTCCTGTTATTACTCCCCACCAGAGTCAGGTTTTTCTGTTTGGCTGGTTGCCAGGCTGGCACAGCTGTTACATATGTCCAAAATGGTGCCAACTCTATCAGCTCGTAAACTTTTTTAAGGTGATAGGAGAGAGAGAATTGTGTCCATACTGTCCTTTTTATTTTTTATCTCCTCTAGTTAAGTGGTGCACTTTCCCACATGGGGCTTCAAGCCTTGTTCCCTCTAGGCTCTTCTTGCCACTTTTCCACCAGTGTCTTGGGCTACTGCGGTTTTGTCTCACCTCTTTTTCCAGCACTGGTGTGGAGACTCTTGGCAGCTGGGGTCCTGAGCCGTGGACACCCATGCCCTCCACGTAGATCTACCGTGTCCCTCTAATTATGAAAGAATTTCCTCTACCATTTTTTCCCTAATTCTTCCCCGAGATTACACTATCTTCACTTCTATTAATCTGTCTTCTCCTGGACTATCAGTAAGCTCCCTCCCTATTCTGCCATCTTGGCTTGGCTTTTATCTTTATAATAAGTCTCTGTGGCTTAGTGAAGTGTCTGGTCTTTTAGTGAATACCCAGAAGCATGTGCTGAGTGTGGCAAGGGAGCTCTGTTCAGTGCTTGAGGGTGAAGTGAGTATCCAAGGTGATACCCACATACTACATTGTAAATCTATCATCATTTTTTTTACAGAGGGGAGGATTTGATCAGCTCTGTTGGCATAACTCACCCTCACCCCCTCTCCTCTAAGGTGACCAATGTCCAGGCTCTAATCCTAGGGGATGCAACATTCATCTACACTGCCACAAGGACAACACAAAGGATATATGCAGTCCTCAGTGTGAGCATGAATCCTGCAACTGTATACACACCCCAGACAAGTAGGGAAGCCCCAAAAGTGTGGAGCTGCCCAGAGACCCAGCCACACCTTCACCCTCCCACACAGCCACAGTATTTATATAGTCCCAGTACAGAAGGCTCCCACAATCATGGGACACTGAGGATCCACTCTACTCTGCCAGTCCGTCCCATCCAGAGCCAGCCACCTGTGATGTGCTGGGAGGCTGGGGACACCTCACATTCCTATGTGGGAGCCCAGTTTCCTGTTAGTCCTTCTATCCAGACTCAGATGTCTCCTCTTGGCTGGGTACGTGGACACAAGCAGGTACAGCTGTTACATATGTCCAAAATATCATCTGCACTCTCTCAGCTAGCTGCAGGGGGCTATTGTCAGTGGGTTGGGGAGAGAGAAACCTGCCCCTTTGTTCCTCTAGTTGGCAGTATACTGTCCCTCACAGGGCTCCAGCTGGACTCATGCCAGGCTTTCCCTGCAGCTATACCACCAGTGGCTTGAAGTGCTGCAGTCTGGTCTCACATCACTCTCCAAAGCTGGTCTGAGGCTCTTGGCTGCTGGGGTCCTGTGTCATGTCTGTTTTCATGCTGCACATCCACACCCTCCATGTAGATCCACGGTGTCCCTGTAACTTCCCTGGAAGTTGCACTGCAGTTTTCTTCCTATCTCTTCCCTGAGATTGCACTCTCTCCACATTTTTTTAAAACTATCTCCCCTAGACTAGAGTAGTCAGCTCCCTCTAGCCATAACTCTGATGCTATTTTATACTATTCCAAAGTTCATATCCATTTGGGTCATCTGTGACATATATCTTTTACACTTTGAGGTGTAGAAAAAATTAAGGATCCCTGAAGACCCCTTAGATTGTATGAGATGAATAAGTTCATGTCACATATTCATTTTAATAAGTGTTCAAAAGAAAGTCTCATGAAATGTGGAACACCCCAAGGCAAATTGTTCTTAAATCCAACATTGAGTGGATGGTCTACATGCAGCAAAGAGAATGGAAGGTGGCAGTGTGTGGAAACTGGCCCTTCTTTCCTGAAGTCCTCACTCTTTAAGGGACTGTGAAGAAGATTGATTATTCCTTTATGCACAGACAATACAATTGGCTATTTTTAGCCTTTCTAGTGCACAAACTTGATCACTGGGTTTTATCATTGACCATACTGCTGTGGTTTATAACAATTGTTAATTTTCTGGGTCATGACCAACTTTGCCATGTTGGGCATACATATACAAACAGAAATATATTTATGTTGTACATTTAGAGTTTGAGCTTAGTACATTAAATTTTAAAGAATCTTCTTAAAACAGGAAACCTAATACATGTACATGGCTGGATTTTCACTGGAAAACTGGAAACATTTGATTTTGATACCGAGTACATTGATAGGTAAGCATGTTTGTTTTTGTGTTTAACTAGTTATGCACTTGGGTATGGTGGTAGCTTCATGAAAACAGCTTTCCTGATAGCAATAAATCGCAAGCAGTTGACCCAGAATTGCTGTTTTCCTCATTGCAGTTCATGGTCTTTCATAAGCTGGACTTCAGCAAACTTTGGTAATATAATTGCAACTGGTTGATCAGGTTGGTTCATTCATTTACTGACAACTAGTCACTCTGGGCTCAGTGTGAATTACACCGAAATTGCATCTGAATTTTCTTCTTTAATTTTTTTATTCTCCCCCCGACCTTGTTTCTCAGTCCAAAGTAAATTCTTATAAGTACCATATGCTACCAATTGTGCCCAAAGTAAATTTTTTTTTTTTTTTTGGACAGGCAGAGTGGACAGTGAGAGAGAGAGAGACAGAGAGAAAGGCCTTCCTTTGCCGTTGGTTCACCCTCCAGTGGCCGCCGCGGCCAGTGCGCTGCGGCCGGCGCACTGCGCTGATCCAATGGCAGGAGCCAGGTACTTATCCTGGTCTCCCATGGGGTGCAGGGCCCAAGCACTTGGGCCATCCTCCACTGCACTCCCTGGCCACAGCAGAGAGCTGGCCTGGAAGAGGGGCAACCAGGACAGAATCCGGCGCCCTGACCGGGACTAGAACCCGGAGTGCCGGCGCCACAAGGTGGAGGATTAGCCTATTGAGCCACAGCGCCGGCCCCAAAGTAAATTCTTGTGCCCAAAGTAAATTCTTTAAAAATTATGTATAAACCTCAAAGCTCATTAGAATTGACTTTTTTGGTTGTTATTTTTGTACATTTGGAAATTCTGCTAGTGGGATCAGAGGAAAATGAGGACAGAGGTACCATAAGCTATTGGACTTCTAATGTTTTCTGGGAATAGCTAGGAGGTCAACATGACTTTTACAAGAGACATCTTAAGAAGATGTCACTATTACCTCACCCATGCTAGGGAGAAGAAAACTAGATTGGGTACTGAAGTTGTGGATTTTGTGGGGGCATTTTAATATTTCATTTCAACAAATGAAATAATTGTAGTGGGGCTTTCTAAGGTAGAAGGAACATAATCTCATTAAGCACTCAGCTAGGTAGGTTCTATACACTGTGTCTAATTTCATTCACCTCTGGACAGGTTGAAGGTATTCTCTCTTTTGCCCTGACTCCCTGATTCTGCCATATTTAAAGAAAAATGTGATTTGACTCCTCTCTGGATCTAAATTCCTGGCATTAAGTAATTGTTAACTTGTCTTATAAGGAAATTACCCTTTCTGCTAGGGATAGAGACCCAAAGTAAAACCTTGACAATGTGCCATATCCACTACTTGGTTCCATCTCAATCTTGGTCTGAGATTCAGCCTTAGAAAGGGGGAATAAAGGTGTAAAATCCACAAAAGTGCCACATAGAACCAATGTAATTAGCATGGATATGATGAAGATTTTCTTGAGAAAGGAGAAATGCTCCCTCTGCAGTGTGAAGTGTGGACCACGAGTTCACCTCTACCGTCTGGCTGAGAATTTGATGGACATAACCTTTGGGCATAATAGTCCTCATACGTCTACAACACTGCCTGGTAAATCCTGAGGTGGATGTTCCAACCACGTTTGTTCTAACTTTCACCAGGAATATTTACTAGAGAACTGCCCTATTGTTTCCTATCTTTTGTTTGCATTTTTAAATCCAGCCCACTGGTCTTGGAATCTCAAAGAGACAGATGGGTCACTCCTTGCTCTCTTGTAAACCGGCAGACAGGAAGCTGGTGAGTATCTTCTTTTTCTTGCCAACATATGTACTTTTCAGTGCTTCCTCATGAATAGAACACATACATATAAATCTGTTTTAAAATATGAATTACAACTGTTGATTGCCTTTATCTTTAGACCCCCTGCAAAAGACACATGAATTGATTCAAAATGCAAATTGAAGTGGATTCTTAAAAATATCTGAGAAAAAAATCTAGTATTTATTAGGAGTTGCCCTAATGCCCTCCATTTAGGTCATCCAATAATCTTGAGTATGTTTGGCTATTAGTCTCACTTTATAGATGAGGAAACTGAGGCACTGAGAGGTTAAGGAACTTCTTCAAGTTTCACAGAAAGTAAGTGGCAGACCTGGAATTTAAATTCTGTCTAAATAACAAACCTCTAGAATTCATGCTCTTAGCAACTCTACTATGTTCACTAGAATAACTACGATTATTTTTAAAATGAACGTCTACTCAGTTCAGACAACTGATGTGTTTTGTTTTACTTCAATCTGTATTAGGTGGATTAATTTTTGAGGTTATTATTGTAAGAATTATACTCTTTGACTTAGCTTTTGGTACTAGTATTTTTATAAAGATTTCATTTATTTATTGGAGAGGTAGATTTACAGACAGAAAAAGGGAGAGAAAGAGAGAAAGGTCTTTAATCTGCTAGTTCATTCCCCAAATGGCCATAATGTCCAGAGCTTGGCCCATCCAAAGCCAGGAGCTTCTTCTGGGTCTCCCACATGGGTGCAGGGGTCCAAGCACTTGGGCCATCTTCTACTGCTTTCCCAGCCACAGCAGAGAGCTGGATCAGAAGAGGAACAATTGCGATACAAACTGCTGTCTGTATGGGATGCAGGTACTGTAGGCAGAGGCTTAGCCTACTATGCCACAGCACCAGCCCCGGTACTGGTATTTAGTAGAGTCAATTTCTATGAGACAGTTTCTTCATGATATCTTCAATTTATCAGGTCAATTTTGTCTTTTTTTTTTGGCTTTATACTTGATAGTAGATCTTTTTGAATAAAGGGTTTCCTGTAGTTGTCAAATAACAGATTTTGGAAAGACAGGATCAAATGGAGATTAGGAGTAAGCTAAATTTTATCTCTTACACTTGTGTATATCTGACAGATAGCTTATTAACTGATAACACTAATTCGTATTACACAAAGCATTTGCCCCAGTGAGTTCATTATATCTCAGTACCTATCAACATTTTCCCACTAATTTGCCTCTTGTGTTGTGTTTTACATTTCTGGTTAAACAAGTCACAACTTCTGTAATGAGTTGTCTGGTGATTGTAACTTTTGTTTGCTTTTCCATAGCTATCCTATTCAGGAAGACCATGGTCTTGGGACTCTACAGTGTCGTGTAGAAGGGGACTACATTGGTTAGAGAAGTAACATACTTTTAAAGTCTTATCCATTTCTCAGTATCCCCCCCCTCCAAAAAAAAATCAGAAACTGATTCTCATGAGGATAATAATAATAACTATCGTTTGAGAACTTCCTGCAAAACACTGTACAAGGCAGGCTGTATAAAAACTAATTTAATCTTCAACAGTAAATGAATTATTTTTACTTTATAGGTGAGAAAACTGAAACTAATAACTAGAGTATTAGGATTTAAATTATGCTTGGTCTAACTCCAAGCCTGGCTCTCACTTGTTATGCAACAGTACATTTATCCTTGTGATTAAGTCTTTACTGCTGATGGCACTAAGGCTGTCAGGTGTTTATTTTGGGCAATCTTAAAGAAATTATAGGTTTGGATAGTAACTTGATGACATTAGTGTCTTTGGGTTTATGGTAGCACTAGCCCGACCTAGGGATTCAGGAAGATTTCTGTATTAATGTCTGTTTCTTTGTGTTGCAGGTTCCCAAAATGTTAGTTTCTCAGTATTTAACAAAGGAAAGTAAGTATCTGAGAGTAGGGAAATCTGTCATCATCTTATACTATCCACCCTTCTCATTTTGCTTACTTTCTTCAACCTTTTATCCTGGGAAATTTCAAGCATATACAAATAATGAAACTGCATGTGCCTTCTTGATTTCTTTTACTGGGTGAATATAATGGTGTCCCATGCAGTCATCTGTAGGCAAGGTAAGTGTTTCAGAGTGGTGACGATACAGAATTTTTGGAATTACTTCTTTAGCAACTGGAAAGTACTGAGCTTAAACTGTCGTAAGTCTCATGAGGCATATAGTTTGATAAAATGCCTTGTCCTCATTCTAGGAAATGCCTTCTTCAAGATGGAATGGGTCCACATCTTGTCAACCTTTGGAGAGATCATCTATAATTCAAAATTCCTCTGTGTCTCACCTCATGTGTTCTACTGTATAATTTGCCTGGCATTTTCCTTGCAAGTTCATTGCCTCTCTGATACTAATTTTATTGTGACTAACACATTAACTATAGCTACATAACTCAGAATATAGAGATCATCTCACCCCTTTAAAAGAAAATATCTTGAGAATCTGTCATAGGCCAGCTCCGTATCAGGCCATTTTAAGTTCATCATTCCATTTAATGCTTGTTATATGGGTATTATTCTTATACAATAATTTTATAGATAAGAAAATAAACTTGAACCCATTTGTGTTGTTCCTCTAGTCATCAAAAGGATCAAACTATTCTAAAGATCACTAACACTATTAGAAACTATAGTCTATAACTGTAAAATCTATTTATAAGCTGTGTCAAACTACTCTAAATGATGCTAGCAGTTAGTTCACTATTAGTTCACTATCTTCCTTTCAGGAGACCAATTTAAAAAATGCTATTTCAGATATGTTTTCATTCAAAACACAACTTTTTATTTTTTGAAGGTCAATGGTACACAAGAATGCATGGCTGATCAGTGCTAAGCAGGACCTCTTCCTGTATCAGACACACTCAGGTACTATTTTCCTTTATTCTGTACTCCCCCATCATGCCTCACCCCTTGCTTTCCTTCTGCTATTTCTGTTTGACCATTAACACCTGAAACTGTTTCTATAGTCATGGATGGTCTTTTGGCTTTTGTTGAGATTAAGTTGCCTGTTTCATTGTCAGCTTTAGTCACCGTATTAAAAGAGGTTTGATCATAGATATCTATAGAAAGTAAGCAGATAAAGATAATGAAAGAAATGGGAATTATGCCTTCTCATGTGTTCTGAAAAATAACAGAAAAGTGGTGACACTTAAAAATCTGAAAGCAAATCTTTCCAGTTGTTCAAACACCCCATATCTAAGCATTTTTTCAATCATTTATGACTTACTTATATGGGTGCTAAGTTATTACATTGCCATATGATGATGAGTAAACCGTCATACTAAAAAGTAAATGCTGGGGCTGGTGCTGTGGTGGAGTAAGCTAAACCCTCTGCCTGTGGCACCAACATCCCATATGGGTGCTTGTTCATGTCTTGGCTGCTCCTCTTTTGATCCAGCTCTCTGCTTATGGCCTGGGAGTGCAGTGGAAGATGGCTCAAGTGCTTGGACCCCTGCACCCATGTGGGAGACCCAGAAGAGGCTCCTGGCTCCTGGCTTTGGATCAGCCCAGCTCCGGCCATTGTGGCCAATTGGGGAGTGAACCAGTGGATGGAAGACCTCTCTCTCTCTCTCCCTCTCCCTCTCCCTCTCCTTCTCTCTCTGTTTAACTCTGACTTTCAAATAAAACAAATAAATCTTTAAAAAAAAGTTCATAGAAATAGAAGTAATTGATAAGTCTGGATGTATATTTTTTTAAATCTATACCTACTTTATTTTATTTCTTTAAAGATTTATTTTTATTTATTTAAAAGGCAGAGTTACAGAGAGAGAGGGAGAGAGAGAGAAAGAGAGATAGAGAGAGAGAGAGGTCTTCCATGTGCTGGTTCACTCCCTAGTTGGCTGCAATGGCCAGAGCTGTGCCCATCTGAAGCCAGGAGCCAGAAGCTTCTTCTGGGTCTCCCACGCGGGTGCAGGGGCCCAAGGACTTGGGCCATCCTCCACTGCCCTCCCAGGACATAGCAGAGAGTTGGATCAAAAGTGGAGCAGCTGGGACTCGAATCTGCGCCCATATGGGATGCTGGCACTGCAGGTGGCAGCTTTACCCACTACACCAAAATGCCGGCCCCTGCATGAACTTTTTGAAAGACCCTCATATTTTATATTTTCAGGGCCAATGTCATCTTGAGAAGAGGATTCCAAGGTCAGAGATTTTACATAGCAGAGGAGGCTGTGGGAAAAGGAGAGGTGGCTAATCAAAAGGACCCTGAACTGAATTCAGGGTTTGGCATTCAATCACTAGCTGTGCTTGGTTGAGCCATTTAGCCTTTCTGAGCATCAATTAAATATCTATAAAATGGACAAAGTTGTGTTTGCCCTTCTAACCTGAAAAGTTGTCTAAAGAAGCACAAGAACAAGAATGTTGGGGTTCATTCAATATTTTCCCTCCTGCTCATTTATACATTTATTTATTACCAGTTTCTGCCAGTTTTACCTCTTATATATTTCTGATACAATGTATTCACTTTATATGTCCCGCCACTACCTAATTCTGCAGCCCTTCATCTCTTGCATATTACATGGTTTCTACAAGGCTCCCCACCTGTTATTTGTTACCTGCTGGTACAGGTTCTGTGCACCTGCCACCATTTTCCACATCAAGCACAAACCTGCATTGCAGCATTGCAGCCTCCAGTGGCTTCCCATCCCTTGCAAAGAGGCCTAAGCTTCTGATCTCTTCTTTTCCTCTCTAGCTGCATCTCTCCCTCTCTCTTGCATATTCCAGCAACTGTCATATGCACATGCAATTCCCCACACTCAGGATATATAGTTTGTTTATTTACTTATTTACTTTAAAGCAAGATTTATTGAAGTCAGAAACCTCCTGCCACAGCAGTCAGGAGGGGGTTCCAAGAGAGGAAGGTTTATTTTATTTATTTGAAAGAGTTATAGACAGAGGTAGAGCCAGAGAGAGAGAAGTCTTCCATCAGTTGGTTCACTCCCCAAATGACTGCAACAGCTAGAGATGAGCTGATCCAAAACCAGGAGCCAGGAGCTTCTTCCAGGTCTCCCATGCAGGTGCAGGGGCCCAAGTACATGGGCCATCCTCCACTGCTTTCCCAGGCTTCAATAGAGAGCTGAATTGAAAGAGGAGAAGCCAGGACTTGAACTGGGGCCTTAACCTGCTGCACCACAGCGCCGGCCCCATCACTTGCTTTAAATTTCCCCACTTCCCCTCACTTGGCCAGTTCTAATTCATCCTTTAAGAGGAAGCACAGATGCTGTCTCCAGAAATTTCCTTCTACTTCTCTATTCCCCCCAACCCTATTACTAAACTTTTTCATTCTTCTTCTTTTTTTTTAAGATTATTTATTTGAGAGGAAGAGTGGTAGACAGAGACATGGAGAGACAGAGTGGTCTTCCATCTGCTGTTTCACTCCTCAAATGGCTGCAACAGCCAGAGCTGAGCCAATCCAAAGCCAGGAGCCAGGAACTTCTTCTAGGTCTCCCATATGGGTACAAGGGCCCAAGCACTTGGGCCAAATTCTATTGCTTTCCCAGGCCATAGCGGAGAGTTGGATTGGAAGTGGAGCAGCCAGGACTCAAACCAGTGCCCATATGGGATGCCAGCACTTCAGGAGATGGCTTTGCCTGCTACGCCACAGTGCCAGCCCCAACTTCTCTGTTCTTTCTTATACCCTAACTTCACCAACACAAGTTTTATAATTAGTGTTCCTACCTTTTGCCATACTGATCTCCTTGAGGACAGGAACTACTTTGTATGCATCTTTATATCCCTGCTGCCATATACTAGGTGCTCTGTGAAAGTCAAAAAGAATTATAAAATATCCATAACTATGTTGAAAGCTTAAGAACTTTATAAATCATTTTGTCTGTGGTCTGTGAAGTTTTGAATGCATAACAGAAGATTGTATTAATCTCTACATGATGCCTATACAAAATTTCAATGTCAATGTGAAAAAAAAACAATGAAGAATTATAAAGGAGTGGGTTAAAAGAAGGTGGTTATTATCAGTGTTGAATTTTGATATTGAGTGTGGAGGATCAATCTTTGCCCCTGCGTTGCCTCTGCTTTGTCTCATGGGCAAAAGCATTAGGAAACATCTTTATAGAATGCACAGTTTGAAGTAGCAACCATTCATGATGCATACCTTCAGTTTATCAGGGAGCACAAGTTTTCTTCCCCTTGGAGGGAATAAAACACAGAACTGTCAATGTTTGATCATAGGACAGGAAAGGACGAGACAGAATTAAATTCTTGGGGATCTGTCGTATATTATGTTGGGGGGTTTCAAATCATTAGAAGCAACATGAAAGGTGACAAGTGCATGTATGTAAAAACAGACATAGCAGGGTAAGCGTGGAAGGGCATTTATCACACTGTGGGGGCCCGAGGACCAAGAGGGCTCACAAGAGTGCCTATTCCAAAGAAAACATTTGGAAGCCCAATTGGAAGAGACATGGAAGAGTCACTTATAGAAGTGACTGATGGCAATCAGTCAGTAATCTGCACCACCTTGTCAGAGTGCACAGCATTAAATAGCAAACAATAAAAGCAAGCGTCATTGGTAGTCGCGGTCAAAGCAGCTGAGCGCCAGTGCTCTACAATAACAAGGCGATTGACTCAAGGACTCGAGTCACAGCTGCAGTCAGCTTACATTTGCCTTTCCCACCAGATTCTACTCAAGATGTTTACCCTGTGTAAGATGTTTACCCTGTAGGGGCGCCTATCCCGGCAGCCACCATCTCCGTCTCCCCTGGGCACACAATGCTCTTTCTCATGGGGCAGGGCTGCCTCATGAGCCTTCCTGTGGGCTTCCTGCTTAGAGCAAACTGCAGATTCAAAAAGGTAACTTGAGGCATTGCCAATCCAAAGTTGATGTATCCATATGTAACCACTGTTCCCTAAGCTATAAATAGAGTCTCTAAGGTCAAGGGTTAAATTTTCCAAGAGGCACCACAGTGTGTAGAGGCTTTTGTTGATACTACTAGTGACTGCATTTCCCCTTCCTTTCAAATGTTGATCCTATGTAGTATACATTGATATATAATTATATATATATATCATATAGTATAAAGTGGCTATTTCTGGGAAAAAATCCAACTGTTGCTGGACTTAGAAACTTAAGGTAAGAAATAAATTACAATTGCTTCTATTATTATCTGGGTCATATTCTGGTCTTTATATGGGAGCTTATTTTGTTTTGAACTCTTGCAGAAATACTCTCGGTGTTTCCAGAAACTGGGAGCATTGGGGGAAGAACAGATGTCACAATTACGGGTGACTTCTTTGACAATTCTGCTCAGGTTACTATTGCAGGTAACTGTTGAAATGGCTAATAGTTCAGTTTGAAAAGCTGTAGGAGATTGTATGTATGTATTTCTTCTGGTCTGGGGAATGTGGAAGGAGGCAGGACTCATCTCTTCTGACTAATTATGCCACCCTGCTCTGAGGTGTTTCACCTGTGTTCAGTTGCGATCAGACGGGATTTCATTCCTGCTGCTCTACAAATGTAGAACAGCAACAGAATGTCCTGTGGCCATGCTCACTGTACGTGAGGAATCCTCTCTGCTATTTCCATTAAGGGAGTGAAGAAAAGGCAGAAGTACAACTGCCTTCATGAAAGTCCACTCTCTCAACCCTTCCCCCCCTTAGAAGAAGTGGGTGGGCATCTGCTGTGCAGTTTCTTCTGGAATGTCCCTCCCACCTTGGCAAACCCTTTTGTGGTACCTGTCTAGAACCTTCTGTTCTGCCAGGTGGGATGCTCCTGTAGTTGGTGTAAGACAGTGGGCTCACACTGCCCTGTCACACTTTCCTTCCCAGCCGAGCCCAGTGGGTTAGTGCACCCCAGCGGATGCCACTGCACTGCTTGGTTTCTTTCTGATTTCTGTAACCTGACCTGTGCTCCACTATCTGCACTCTCCCTTTCTTAGTCTCCTTCAGTTGGGATAACAGCTTTTGATATTCTACGCACATCCAGCTCTTTGCCTTAGAACACAGGCCTGTCTACCTTAGTCTGGCCCTGCTATGACATCTACATGTCTCTCTCTATTTGTATCTGTGAAACTTTTGAATTCTCCTTAGGCATTCCATGTGATGTTCGACACGTGTCTTCCAGGAAGATTGAGTGTACCACCAGGCCTCCAGGAAAAGGTGCAAGACTCACTCCTCCTCAGGCAGGTAAGGAGGCCATCAGAACTGTTTAGTGAAACTCCAGTTAGACTTTTAACCATGAGTGGTTGGGGAGTAGAAGTAAAAGCATTTGAGGTTTGTCACCTCTGTGTGTCTGGTTAGTTCAGTGAGCCCTGTCCATAACACCATTGTCAAGGTTTTCATAACAGGGAGGCACTTGCTTTGCTCTGATGCCTTCCAGTACCATACCTTTATCTCTGGTCAGACGTATGGCCAGGGATTCGGGGGAGACCATGATCCTGAAAGCCTAACTGCCATCAAGACACTGTTAAAGTTGCTGGTGGACACACACAAACTGCTCCCTGCTTACCACGGGTCAGTTGCATGCCCATTATCCACTAAGAAAGAATCAGTAGTGTGTTCTTCCATGCTGATCACAATGCCATGAGATTATGCTGCAGCGTGAAGCACATTGGTATGCCTTTAAATGTTTTTACTTGCCGGTGGGCATATGTCTGCTGCTTAGAAAAGTAGTGGTGGATTGTGACGTTACCACCAGTTTATGCCTAAAGTAGGCAGAATGGAGGAGACCAGGTGGCAGTTTCCACAGATGCAAGTGGAATGCACAACATTTTCCTGATAAGCATGAGAATGGGAGGTATACGTGTAGTTAGGGATGAAGGGTGGTTGGCATGTTATCCTGCCTGGAACTACAGGTTACCCCCCTGCACACAGGGGCTGATTTAATGGTTAAACTACAGGCAGTGAGCAGAACTCCAGGGGCTCAGTACCTATACATAAAGTTGCCCAGTAGGGGACAAAATCATTCTAAAGAAAGGCCAGTCAGGTGTGAAAATGCATGCAAAGCTGTGGTTTGAGAATTCTCAGGCTCCCCATCTGCAGTTTTGAAAGCTCCCACCCAAGGAAGCAAAACTATGAAAACAAGTAATTGGGAGAATGTGTATTTCACATATCAGGAAACAGTCTGCTCTCTCTGAGCAATTCCTACTCTAGCTATTTGGGTAGTGGTAGGATAATTTCCTTAATGTAGCTGTTTGGGAATTATTTAGAAATTTCCTTTAAGAAGAGTTTTCTGACATTTCTTCCGTGGAAATCTGGGCACATTACTTTGTAAAGTAGTGGTTCTCCACTGGGTGATTTTGCCTCCTGGAGCTCTTGACAATGTCTGGAAATATTTTTGGCTGTTATGCCTGGGGTGGTATTAACAGTAGCTTCCAGGGTAAAGGCCAAGGGGACTGTTAAATATACTGCGATGTAATACAAAGGATGGAGTTATTCAGCTTAAAATGTCAGAAGTGCTGAGATTGATAAACCCTGATTTAAGATAATATTCTTAACATATGCTCTCAATTTTCTGCTTGTGTGTTATCTTTCTCCATTATAGGAGTTAACAGTGATAGTTTAAAAGAACCATACTTATAGCTAGCCTTTATTGAGTGTTTACTATATTTCAGTCTTTTGTATATATCCTGTTTCCATTTGTCCCAGTTTCTATTCTTAGCCCCATTTGATGTATGAGAAATTGAAGACACAGGTGCATTAAGTAACTTCCCCAGAGCTACACATTTCCTTGTAGCAAGTGGCAGAGCTGGAATCAGAACCCATAGCTATGAGTCTGGAGTTTTTAACCCTCAACCTAAGTCAGTATCCAATATTGACTGCACCTGTGCCTTTGGCCACAGGGTTTGCTTAATATAAAACACAAATTTAAAAGTACAGCATCATTTAAAATGCCACTTAACAGCAGCATACCGCATACTTGGCTCTGTGTGCAAGTCCACAAATTAAGACCGTAACTCTTAAAAAATTTAAAGATGGCCAATTTTCTGGGAAAAAGGGTTTTGGGGAATAGAATTTCCAGGCTGAACTGGACCTTCAATGGTACTGAAGTGCACTTATGGCTTTCAGAAACACAAAGACAAGTTGTGTCACAAGCACACAATCACATTGTTCTTCTTGTATTCAACCACAGCATTTGTTTGCTCTTCCACATTTTCTCTAAGACCTGGTCCTCTGCTGTAGGTGCTTAAATTAAAAAGGGATTCCCGCTCTCTCTGGTCCTCTGAGAATATCTGCCCTTACTGTTCCTTAACAAGTCTCTTCTGTTTTCCAGTGTATTTTTACTATCTTCAAAGCTTCTCACGTGACTATCTGGGTTTTGGTCTATTTTCCTTTACAAACAGTACCTGGATTATCTTTCTTGCTGTAATTTGAAATAAAATAATGCTTGAGTCTGGGGAGTACTGCCTCTAGTATTCACAAGCCGTGGATCTCTTCCAGGAAATCGAGGACTTCTTTTTGAAGTTGCAGATGCTGCTGAAGGCTTGGAATTGACTGAAACCACACCTGGGTATAGGTGGCAGATTGTCCCTAATGCCAGTTCTCCAATTAGATTTTGGTCAAAGGAAGGACAGCCTTTCAGGTATGTTGTAGGAAAATTGGAAGTTTGTATAAAAAGCATCTTTATTAGCCTTGGTGAGGCTAGAATAGAGATGAGTAAGACAGTAATATTGGGGCGCCGGATTCTTTCCCGGTTGCCCCTCTTCCAGGCCAGCTCTCTGCTGTGGCCCGGGAAGGCAGTGGAGGATGGCCCAAGTGCTTGGGCCCTGCACCCCATGGGAGACCAGGAAAAGCACCTGGCTCCTGGCTTCGGATCAGCGCGGTGTGCCGGCTGCAGTGCGCCAGCCGTGGCGGCCATTGGAGGGTGAACCAACGGCAAAGGAAGACCTTTCTCTCTGTCTCTCTCACTATGCACTCTGCCTGTCAAAAAAAAAAAAAAAAAAAAAAAAGACAGTAATATTGTAATATTGTCAGGAGAGAATTTACAATACCAGCCAATTCAATAACCACAGAACTTGACGGTTCTCAAGGGTTGCCCATGTTAGTGACCAATAGACCCTTTGTAGGTATATGGTTAAATTTTAATTTAGAATTTATATTTCTTACAGCTCAGTTTGTAATCTACTGGTGGGGGTGGGGAGGATTATCACTTGGAACAATGAACTCCGTAGACCAGGAGACTTGATTGATGGCAGGATAAAACTGACTGCAAGTGTGTAGTTGAGAGATCAAACTAACACCTGCCTCATGCCAAGAAAATGCAAGAATTTGCTTTTTGGGAAATGCCCTTTGGGCATATTAGGGAGCAAAGGCGTGGCAGCAATAATCCTATTGGAGCAACCACTCAGTGCTGAGGATCAATCCAATGGCCAGTGTATCCCAAGGGAGGCCCTTACGAGCTCTGTAAGACATTGCTTTCTATAGGAGTGATTACATTAGGATTATGACCTTCATGTTTATCACTTTCCTGTTTATTATCCCTTCAAAGATGTAGCTAGCATTTCCAATATTCTAAAGTGATAAAATGCTCAAAAATTGCTTAGATGAAGTTTCCTTCATGAGTTCTCAGTGTCTATTTAGAGGGATCAATCATTGACCCTGTGACCCATCCTTTCTCCCTGAGAAATCCTTCTGAGTGCTGATTCTTAAATGTGAATTTCAGCCAGGCTATGACTTTTGCCAGGGATTTTAACATTCTTGATCTTGACTCCATTATGGAATGAAAGCCTCTCTTGTTTAGGGAATGTCAAGCCTTGAAGAAATCAATTAGGAAGATAATCTGTGAATAAAGAGCATTTTCTGAAGCCATTCTAACTAGATATTTAATGGGCAATCTATGGTTTTAAAGTGGTGATAATTTGTGATCCATTGTAGCACCTAATAATATACCTATAAGTATATCACAGCTTTTGAGGATCATTCACAACATCCAAAGAAATGCGGTATTCATTGTGCTTGCCTCAAAAGGCAAAGAACATTTTGACTAGTATGGTGGGACTTGAAGAGATGCCCCTTTTAACTGACATTTGAGGAGCAACCAACCTCAATTTCCATTTCTTCTAATTTATTTCTTTCAAATCTAAAGCTTTTATATAAAATATGGCATGTTATTTGGTAAATTTAATATTATTTCATAGGTCTTTAAACTACGAAATGATTCAAGTTTGTAGAAAATGGAATGAAGACTGCTTTGGTGCAACAATTTTTGAAATCCATGCAAATTTTGAAGACCCCCTTACAGTTGTTTTTGAAATTATTTTCAAATTTAAATTTCTAAACAGAATTTATATTAGTGATCTGTAGGTTTTTTTTTTTTAAAAAGTAGAGAATATATTTGTTTATATAGTTTAATCAGTTTTTAACTACATCTCTACATTAATCCACTAGAGTTTAAACATTTAAAAATGGTCTTATTTTCCCCCACTGGGCTAATCCTCCTCCTTGCGGCGCTGGCACACCGGGTTCTAGTCCTGGTCGGGGTGCCGGATTCTGTCCCGGTTGCCCCTCTTCCAGGCCAGCTCTCTGCTGTGGCCAGGGAGTGCAGTGGAGGATGGCCCAAGTGCTTGGGCCCTGCACCCCATGGGAGACCAGGATAAGTACCTGGCTCCTGCCATCGGATCAGTGTGATGCACCGGCCGCTGCGCGCCGGCCGTGGCGGCCATTGGAGGGTGAACCAACGGCAAAAAGGAAATCCTTTCTCTCTGTCTCTCTCTCTCTCTCACTGTCCACTCTGCCTGTCAAAAAATTAAACAAAAAGAAAAAAAAAATGGTCTTATTTTCAAAATATTTTATAAAACTGCCTGCAGTCTTCTTAAGTGTTTCATTTTATGGCTTTCAATTTAAAATGGTTTATACCGTGAGTTGACTCCTCTCTACTTTTTTTTTTTTTCTTTCAATTGGAGAAATGCTGTGCATGTGTTGAGGTCCCTGGTAAGTTCAGAGCAAATTCTAATTGGTGACCTCTTTTTATTTCTAATAATACAAATATTTGCTGTAGATTGAGTTCCTACTGTGATCCTAGACCTGTGCTGGCTGGGATAGGTGTTTTCTCAGCTGAGCCTCCATAGCAGTTCCCACAACATTCCCAAGGATGATGCAGCTGCAAGGAGACATGCACCTAGTGTGAAGAGGTAGATTGGGACATTGAGACTATGCAAGCACTATAGCTCCTTTTAGCCAACTCTGGACAGTTACACAGGGGAAAAAATAAAGCTCAAATCATAGAGGAAAAAAAAGTATAAGGGCAATCATTCGTTAGTTCAGTGATTTAAGCTGTGGTTGCTTTTGTTTGACTTTGTGCTTTTCTGCTTCGCAGAGCACGGCTCAGTGGGTTCTTTGTGGCCCCAGAGACAAACAATTACACATTTTGGATCCAGGCAGACAGCCAAGCTTCCTTGCATTTCAGCTGGTCAGAGGAACCAAGGACTCAGGTATTTACCTTTACCTCATTATCCTTTTCTTTATTACTAGTGCCTCTGAAAAAAGGAAAGAACCAAAGCTTGAAACTCTAATGGTCTACAGATTGTTCTTCATTAGGTGACTGATCAATTACTGAAAAAGAATTTGGCCAAATGTCATGTTACTGTTTCTTGAGCATTTACTGTGAGCCAGGCATCATGCTACATCTTTTCCATGCTTCATCTCTCATCTTCACTGTAGCTCTGTGAGACACATATTTATTTCCGTTTCACAGATGAGGAAATTAAGGTTTAGTAAGACTGGTTGGTCAATCAGGACCATTTGGATAATAAGAGTATATTCAGAATTAAAATCCGGATTTGTCTGATTCTAAAACTTGTGCTGGTAAAGATACAGCCAATCTTGTGTAGGAATTTCCCCATCAACTTTGAAGGATAAGAAAAGATGCCTTGACAAGCACCAAAATTCACCTGCACAGTTGATCAGGAGGTGTTTTTTTTTTTTTTTCCAAATTATTAACATGCTTCTTTGAAGCTTGTGGTGGAATGAGAAGGCCATGCTAAGATGGCTGCTGGCAAGCGAGCATCAGTAACTCGGAATGGCTTTGAAACCCACCTGGCAACAGAGCCTGCCTGGCAACAGGCTGTGATTGGATGGCTTTGGAAACCACATGGCAACGGAGCCTGCCTGGTAACAGGCTGTGATTGGTTAGGGCATAGACTACCCCTTGACCGGATTGGCTACCTTGGCTCTTTAAGCTGCTGTACCAACTGAAATAAGTGAGTCTGCAGGATGCTCGCCTCAGCCTGCTTTCACCCGACTCCCGGGGTCTGTGTGGTGACTCCGCCTCTTGCCCCCACCACGCTCCTCCTCTCAGGAACGAATCCACAGCAACAAAGCTGGTTTGCTAGAGGGTTAAAGAAACATCATGGATTTTGATATGGCCAAGTCATTGCAGGCCCTTCAAAGACCTAATTCTCCACAGTGTCATGTAAACCTAGGGATTTATATTGGCTGGTCCTGCTCTTAACAATGGGACATTGAATATCATTTGAATACTATCCAAATGAGATAGGGAGAGAAAGAGTGAGGCAGAGAGGAGGCATAACTAATCAGAGGACCAAGGTGAGTGGGCTAACTTGCTGAATACGGTAGAACACTTAAAACATCTCCTGTTAGTGGTATCCAGACAATGTTTCAGAAGGAGCGCCTGGAGCTTCATAGCATTCATCCTGATGTGCTTACTTGGGCACAGGTGAAAGTGGCCTCTATCAGGGCTGGCACTGCTGATTGGTTTGACTCTTGGGAGCAGAATGGGGATGAAGGAGCTTGGCAACAGAAGACTCCCAAGTTGAAGCTGTTGAGTGGAGTCCAGTACTACCTGGAAGCAGAGCATGTGGGGATCTCCCCTAGCAAGGGGATGAGGATTGGTGTCCAGATTCATAACACCTGGTTGAATCCTGATGTGGTCAACACTTACCTCCGGGAGAAGCACCAGATCCGAGCCCGAGCCCAGAGACTTCCAGAAATACAGGTCTGTGTCTCTTCCCAGTTCATGAACACTAAACTCTAGAAATAAAAGTCTTACCTGGCCGAAGGACCACTGTCCGGGAGCCAGGGTACCTAAGTAATAATTGTAACTCTGCCACCAATGAAATAGGGTATCTATCCAACATGGTAGTAAAGATGTTTTTTAAAAAATAGCCTATTTATTGAGATTATTTTACTAATTGACTTAGTTTTGGCTATTTAACTTCTAAGTAATTTTTCATTTAGAAACATAGTCCCCAGAGTAAAGGTCCTTCAAACACATGCACACACACATATGTGCACATACATGAACAAACACATAATTTTTTAGGGATGGTAATAAGTGGTTTTTTTTTTGTCATTTTAAACCACCCACTGAATTTGGGGGTTGTTTATTTTACAACAATATAAAAGTCATACAATTGCAGACACACACATACAGCCCAGACTCTCTTTCTGTGTATGTGGTGGCTTGTAAGTCTACTTTCCAAAGGTCATTCTGCGGGTCTCCTTGTTGTGCCCATGTTTTTCTTGAACACATTAATGCAATTTTTGTTCACATTTTGGTGCACAACAATGAATCAGTATGGACCCTACATTCTAAAGTTTACATTTTAATAACAACATGTATGCAGATAACCATAGGACAAAGTATAAAATAATAAGCGACTTAAGGGGTTAAAGAGTATGTAGATTTCACTCTATAGCCAGAGTGTATTCTGCACAATGGGGAGCATGTTGGAAGCAAAGTGGAGACTGAACAAGTCTCCAAGACGGTGTGGCATACCACAGTTATGGCTTATGACGAGCAGGCCACACCATGGGGAAAGCATCTGGTGGGAAGGGATGAACCTGTAAGTCTCATACTCTACAAAAAGGGACATGGATAGATAGGGAGATGGACATGTATGTTATTTTTGGAAAAGATTTCATTAGGTGATAATACTGTGTCCATCAAGATTTCTAGATGACAATGTGTTTTGAACACTGACATTACAGGGAGCAGAAACTTAGCCATGGGTTTGATTCTGGGTTCCAGCTTCCTGAAAAATGCAGACCTTGGGAAAAGGTGATGGCACTTGTAATTGGGTTCCTGTCATACATGTAGGAGACATGGACTGATTTCCTGGCTCCTAGCTTTGTCTGGGCCCAGCCCCAGCTGTTGCAGGCATTTGGGGAGTAAACCAGGAGATAATAGAGCTCTGTCTCTCAAATTTTTAAAAAAAAATATAATGGAAAATAGCAAACTGAGATATATGCCCTGGCTTCCAAGACTGGCTCTCTGGCTTGTTAGCACGTATCATTTAGTCCTGTTTCTCTTGCCTTTTTAGATGTTGAACGTGTCAGGCAGAGGAACATTTTTCCTTACTTGGGACAATGTCTCCAGTCAACCAATCCCTGCAAATGCCACAGCACATCAGGTGGGAACTTCTTCAAATAATCAAGTGTGGGAGAACTAGAGGTGCTCTCTATGGTCACAATAGGCGATCCTTGTATGTTTTTTCTTTTTAATAGATTCAAACAACCCTTGAAGAGCTACTTGCAGTAAAATGCAAACTGGAACCCCATTCAGCTAACATCTTGCTCCGACTTGGATTTGAACAAGGTACTACCTCTCTTTTGACAAACTCTGATCTTTTCCCTCATTGTGTTTTCATACTTTTTTCCTATAAAATGGGAATAATCTCCGTATCTTATCCAAGGTGCTAGCAGAGTTAAATAAAAAATGAAAACTGGATTTGGACACTGAGTGGCCAAGGAAGTAACCATGAGTTCGGAGGGAGGTGGCTTGGTGTGGATGACAGTAGAAAATAAAACAGTCTTCCTAATGCGCCACCTTGTTAGATAGGGCAGAGCACTCCCCAGGTACATCCAATGCTATTCACGGGGACAGGGCATAGAAAACAGGCAGGGAACAGAGAACACTGTACAAATTCATTTATCCCAAAATGCATCTAAAGAAATTATTTATAATAATATTTATTAAGATGTGATAATGTTTTAAAAATGTTTAACTGTCAGTTATTTCAAATTCTTATTATTGTAAAGGGAACAGGCTTTATCTGTTTCATAGACACAATTCTAAGAACATGACCATGACCATACCTTCTTTGCTTCAATAGCTCTGCTGTCCTTTATGAAAGAGGTGCACTCATTTGCCACTTTGGGAAACAGTGTGGGTCTTGCTGGGGTGGTGGAGCTTGGGGATAGGCATTTGGTAGAGCATTTAAGTCACTGCTTGGGGATAGGCATTTGGTAGAGCGTTTAACTCACTGCTTGGGATGCCTGCATGCCTTGTTAGACTGCTTGGGTTCCACTCTCAGCTCTATTTCAAATTCCAGCTTCCTGCTTATGTACACCTATTTGGGAGACCTAGATAGAGTTCCAAGCTCCTGTTTTTTGGTCTAATTCAGTCGTAGTTGTTTTGGGAAATTTGGGAAATGAGCCAGTGGATGGAAGATATCTGTATATCTGTCTATTTCCTCTCCCTTTCAAATAAATGAAAATACAAAATTTTAAAGAGTGCTAAGGTGAACTAAATTCCTTTTGACTTTGTTTATATCTCTTTGCTTCTCAATAATTTTTCATGTCTTGGTACACAGAGAAAATGGTAAAGGATTTTCCATGTTTTGGGGCAGACAGAAAGGATTTTTTTAATAGCTGGAGCTTTCAGGCTGGGGGTGCTGGCCACTCAGGCCCTGCCCAACTCCTCAAGGGCTGAGGTACCAGTAATACAATGAAATCACTACTCAAGTCCTGCACACATGTTGAGAGCTCTGTCTGTTCTCTTTAAAGAGATTTATTTTACAGGAACAGAGATAGTGATAGGAGAGAGAACAATCAATTGAGCACAAGAGCACTCCATGGTGTGCACTGGGCTGAAGCTGAAACCTGGAGTGGGAACTCAATTCAGGTCTCCCAGGTAGGTGGCAGGAACTAGATAATTTGAGCCATTACCATTACAATGCAGAATTTGCATTAGCAGGAAGCCAGAATCAGGAACTCAAGGTGGATGCTGAACTCTGAATGGGTCATGAACATCTTAAACAACATCTTAACTGTTACTTCAAATACCCACACCAGAAGCTCTGTCTGTCTACCATCAATGCTTGTCTTCTACTTTTATTTGAATCACCCCCAGGCCTAGAAGGTTACAGCTCTGATGGAGATCCTACCACTGGGACAGAGCCATTTTGTGGCAGGTTCAGCCTCCGTCAGCCTCAACACCTTGTTCTAACCCCACCGGCTCCCCAGAAAAGCTTTCGGCTAGATCAATATACACACGTGAGTAGCAGGCTATGCTGTCAGGCCACATGGTTGGTGGGGGGCAGGCATTGGTATGATCCTCTGGATTTGGGACCCCCAAAACAGAAGCACAGAAGAGTGATTTGCCAAAGGCATTTCAGGCTGAGGTTCTAGGTCTGTTAACTGCTGTTTCAGACACCCCTGGCCTGTTGTATATTGTTACTTGGAAATGCATTTCTGTTAGCTGTAAGACCTATGGCAGGTTTCATTGGCTGTATTATTTTCTTTGCTCTCTGGGAGTGCAAACTCGACTCTACCTACATTCTGTGTGCTCTCGATGTCTTTTTTTTTTTTTTTTTACACAGGCAGAGTGGACAGTGAGAGAGAGAGACAGAGAGAAAGGTCTTCCTTTGCCATTGGTTCACCCTCCAAAAGCGCACCGCGCTGATCTGAAGGCAGGAGCCAGGTGCTTCTCCTGGTCTCCCATGGGGTGCAGGGCCCAAGCCCTTGGGCCATCCTCCACTGCCTTCCCGGGCCACAGCAGAGAGCTGGCCTGAAAGAGGGGCAACCGGGACAGAATCTGGCGCCCCGACCGGGACTAGAACCCAGTGTGCCGGCGCCGCTAGGCGGAGGATTAGCCTAGTGAGCTGCGGCGCCCATCCAATTTTTATAATTGTAAAGAGAACAGGCTTTAAGTGTTTCATAGATACAGTTCTAAGAACATGACCATACCTTCTTTGCTTCAATAGCTCTGCTGTCCTTCATGAAAGAGGCACACTGAATTGCCACTTTAGGAACCAGAGTGGGTCTTGCAGGGATGTTGGAGCCTGGGGCAGTAGTTCCTAGTCTTTTCCTTCTTAGGGTCCATTGGGAGTCAGGGCTGAACAGTTCAGAACAGGAGTTCCAGTTATCTTCAGCTCCCCCTTTACTGCTGATACTCCGGATGGGGGTGATTTTGCTCCATAAGAGAGAGCTGGCCACAGGTGCCACGGCTCAATAGGCTAATCCTCCGCCTCGGCGCTGGCACACCGGGTTCTAGTCCTGGTCGGGGCGCCAGATTCTGTCCCGGTTGCCCCTCTTCCAGGCCAGCTCTCTGCTGTGGCCGGGGAAGGCAGTGGAGGATGGCCCAGGTCCTTGGGCCCTGCACCCCATGGGAGACCAGGAGAAGCACCTGGCTCCTGCCTTTGGATTAGCGTGGTGTGCCGGCCGCAGTGCGCTGGCAGCGGCGGCCATTGGAGGGTGAACCAATGGCAAAGGAAGACCTTTCTCTCTGTCTCTCTCTCTCACTGTCCACTCTGCCTGTCAAAAAAAAAAAAAAAAAAGAGAGAGAGAGAGAGAGAGAGCTGGCAATATATGGAGACAGTTTTAGTTGCCACAACTGGGGAAGTGTTATTGGCATCTACTGGGTAGAAGTCAGGAATGCTGCTAAACATCCTATAATGCACAGAGCAGCTTCCAAAACAAGTCCATAGCCCCAACACGTCAGTATTGCTGATAGTAAAAAAAAAGTCTGTTTTAGATCAGTTCCCTTATTTTCTGAAAAGAGTCCAGAGCTAGAATATGATTTGTAGAAAGTCCATCAGCCCATTGGTGACAATTCCTGAGCTTGAGTATTCTCTTGCCACAAACTTTGCCCTTAATTGGGTTAGAAACCAAGGGCCTGGTAGTTAGAGTTGAACTGAGGCTCAAAGGGGTTAACAGATTTGCTCATGGTTGCACAGGTAATTGGGTTAGAACAAGGATCTTCCAATTGAGGAAAAATCCTCACTGCCAAGTATGGTGGAAAGCATTAAAACACCTTGGTGAATTACATTTTTTTTTTGGTCTCAGAAAAAGCAATTTTGACTTTTCTCTAGCTCTACTGTGGTAAGTAAATAACAATGTACTATACGTTATTTGTCTCTTCAGCTAGACTGCTGGCTCCAGGAAGGCAGGAATCATTTTGTCTTCTAGCTTGTGGTAGGGTTCTAAGGATCTAGACTCCTGGGTAGATATGGCTTGAATGTCTGCTTCTTGCACTACTAGAACTGAAGGGCTTGTTTGGTATCCTTAGCTATGTATTGCATACAAAGGTCACACGAGTAACATTCTGAAGATGACTGTGTTCTTCACACTCGGCTTGCAAAACATCGTAAAGAATACCACCTGTGACTGGAGTCTCCCTGGGATCAACCCCAACAGGTATCTGATGGATGGGGACATGTGGGAATTTTGCCCACCAGGAGCATTCCTCTGTTGAGGACAGTGGCCCACCCAAAGTACTAATGATCTGGCTTGAATATATTTTATTTGACAAACAAGTTTGATTCAAGAACAATTGCTAAGAATATAATACTTGGGCAGACATTATGGTATAATGGGTTAAGCCTCTGCCTATGATGCTGGCGTCCTCTATGGGAGCCAGTTTGAGACCTGGTTGCTCCACTTCCGATTTGGCTCCCGGCTAATGTGCTTGGGAAAGCAGCAGAAGATGGCCCAAGTGCTTGGGCCCCTGCACCCAAGTGGGAGACCTGAAGAAGCTCTGGGCTCCTAGCTTTGTACAGGAGCCCCTGCTATAGGAAAGAACCAGTGAATGGAAGAACTCTCTCTCCTCCTCCTTTTTCTCTAACTCAGCCTTTCAAATAAATAAGAAAGAATATAGCACTTGCTAGAAGTGACTTCTGTCATAGGATAGAATCATAGAACATTTATGGGGCACCTTAGAGAATATTCTTTGACAGGACAGATGTGGAAAACCAAGAAATTTTAGTTAATCAAAAATGCAGTTGGCTAGTAATTCTGGAATAAATTTCAGGTGTCTTGATCCTTTGATTCAGTCACATTCTATATATTTTATGTGAGTCTTACAAGAGATTTTAAATCTAAAATCAAGGTAATGCAAGATATCAATCTGCTTGATACATCTCTCTGTCTCTCATCTCTCTAACTCTGCCTTTCAAACAAAATAAATCTTTAAAAATCCCACACAATTAAATTGTGATTTGAAAATACTGCTGACACTGAATGTCATGAATGAATGCTTGATTTAAATTCAATCAGTGGTACTACACCAGGTGCCGAGCTGAGTCCATCTTGGTGGAATGTGTGTGTACCTGTGGCACATGGGGCTGTTTGGGTGCAAGGGATTAACAGGTCTCTCTCTTTGCTGCAGAGTCCTTGGGAGACAGCTATAGATGCTTCCTGGGAGGCCCCTTTTCACTCTGTGTTGTTTTGCAGCTGGCAGTTCACTTGTGAGAACCTCTGGGAGACCTGTGTGCATCAGTTCGGGGATCTCCAGGCCCATTTGGCAAACCCTCCAGTGCTGATTCTTCAGATCAACCTCCTCCCTTTGGCTCCAGAGAAGGGCCTGCTCTACGTGGATGAAGTTATCATTGCAGACACAAATCTGACAGGTGACTGTCAACTCCGTTCTCCGTGGGCTTGTCAAATGCCTACTTCAAGCTTGCCTGCCGAGGGTGGTTGTTCTTCTAATGGGGGGAGGAGAGGTGAATGTCTACCTTGCTTGTCTTGGTTCTAGAAAGTAGCTGGGGTTGGGATTTGATTGTGTGCCCTTGATTCCCTTTCTCTCTAGCTACTTCTGCCTCTTTTCCTATTTACCAAAGTGTTTGCTTTTGCTGTTACCCAATTTTTGCTCTTATTTCAATTTTACCACCTTATTGCTGGGAACCCTTGGTTTCCTCATCTATGAAATGATATGATAAGAACTACACCTAATTGGATTACACTGAAGATTAACTCACAGTTTAATACAAAGCTCCTACTGTGGCCATTACAAGTCTTGACCATAGTAAGTCCTTAATAAATAGAAGCAATTGCTGTATCATTATTGTTGCACCAGCAGAATTTGTTCAAGTGCTAGAAGGAACACAGTGATTATCTGATCTTATAAATGAGTTGAAGGTCTGATTTATGAACTTCAAGATGGATAGCAAGATTTGGAGGGTAACCATATCCTTCAGAGAGAATGCCCTTATCCTTTATGTCTATCTACATTCTTCCAACTCATTGTTTAGAGTTCACACCTGACATCTTCCATGAAGTCTCCTTGGACCTCTCTTTTTCAGTTAGTGGTTCCATGTAGCTCTGCTTGCCCAGTAGTCTTAAGGACAAAGTGCTCATCAGGAATCCTACTGAGGTTGGCCACATATGATGTGTACTCATGGCCAAGACTGATGGTGAAGTGTGCTGTCAGGGCTCCCTAGCCCAGTTTTTCCACATTCTCTTTATTGTCGAATCCCTTATGACTTTGGGGATCAGCTTTCCTGTTTTCATAGCATTTTTCCCTCCCCAAGGTGAAAAAGATGATAGTTATTTATCTTCTGAGTTACAGAATGTGCAACTTTTAAACCTTTTGCCTAAAAAATAGAGAGCTGAGGTCAGAAGAGCTTGGAAGTAGGTGGCTATGGGACTCTCTAATCAGTCCTGGAATTAAACATCATCAACACTCATCAAATTCTACCTTTTACCTGTTTTAGTGGTTGAAGTGTTTTTGAATCAGATTGGGCCATAGCTTCTTATCCAAAGCCTATTAATTTTCTGGCACAATTCAAATAGTGTACTGGGATGGCTGAGTGATATCTTGCTGCATAAGATAACTAGTTAGGGGACTTTGACCCCAACTGCTGCCCAAATGTTCAGTGGACTGAGATGATTGGTATCTCTCTTGAACCCGCTAGTTGGTAAACTCAGGGCTAGATAATAGATGCTTTTTCACTCTCTCTTTTCTCTTCTTTAAATGTCGTCTTGCCCTTCCAAACCTTTGAAGGCAAGGATTTGGAACCCTTTTTCATTGCATCCTATTCTTGATCACAAAATGTTCTGTGTATCTGGAATCATCCAGAGGTGAGGTGAGGAGAGGAGATTGAAGGGAGAGGGTGGAAACAAGAAAGAAGATTTGGGTTGGTTTGGGTGAAACAATTGGCTTCTTGCTTTGTTAGTTTACCCTACTGGCAATGGTTGTTTCATAAGAATCATTTAATGGTCAAATAAAATCTATGTGATTAGTCTTGATGTTCATAGTTAATTGTATGCCATTTATTTTATTAATTTAATCCTTGATTATATCTCTCCGATGTCTTTTATCTAGTGGTGCTTTCCAATTATTTCTCATTTAGTTGTCAGAGGCCTAAGAGATAGCCCTAGTATCCCCACTCTACAAGGGGTGAAAACCAAGGCTAAAAGGGGTTGAGTGTAGGCCGGCGCCACAGCTCACTAGGCTAATCCTCCGCCTGTGGTGCTGGCACCCCGGGTGCTAGTCCCAGTTGGGGCGCCCTCTTCCCTGTTGCTCCTCTTCCAGTCCAACTCTCTGCTGTGGCCTGGGAGTGCAGTGGAGGATGGCCCAGCTCCTTGGGCCCTGCACCCACATGGGACAGGAGAAGTGCACCGACCACAGCAGCCACTGTGGGGTGAACTAATGGAAAAGGAAGACCTTTCTCTCTGTCTCTCTCTCTCTCACTGTCTAACTCTGGCTGTCAAAAAAAAAAAAAAAAAGGGGGGGGGGGAGTTGAGTGTCATGCCCTGAGCACCCATCTGTGTTGTTGGTGAAGATGGGAACCCAGCCATCCTTGACACCTGTGCTGAACCTACCTGGCTGAATGAATAGTCATTTATTGAGCACCTACTCTGTGCCTAGTGCTGTGATAAGCACTGGGCATGCAAAGCTGAGTAACACAAAGATGTGGCCCCACAACTCTTTGCCATATTGATTGTGAACAATCTTAGGGACTGTGCATAGTAGAAGAGGATAAGAATTTTTAAAATAAGTGTTACAAGTCATTTTAAATCTGTAGTCTCACTAAAATTTCTTGCTATGATCCTCACTTTACAAATGTAAAAACTGAGTCTTAGGAAAGAAGGGAGGAGGAGGTGATGGGGAGGCAGGAAAGTATCATATTTTTAGAATTGTATCTATGAGCTACACTGAATCTGTTTTCTTTGTAGTAATGCCACATTGAGAACTGGTGATTGCATTTGCTGTGACCCTGATAATCCAAAGTATTAATAAATTTCTTTAAAATAATTAACTCTTGGGAACTTACATGGATTAGCTGAGTGGGTACCCAAGAGGATTAGGAACACGATTTGAACAATGGTATCTTAAAGCCTGTACTCATTTTGCATACATGCTAACTCAGTACTGTGCATCAGCACTCAAGCACCCCCAGTGAGTGCCTGTGTACTCGGTGTTTCTTAGGAGAATGGGCCATATACCTGCTAGAGACTGGGGGAAGGAAGAAGGAGAAAGAAGGTGACATAAATGATGTGTGTAGGGAAGCTCTGTAGCACAGAGTGACATTTGGCTGGACTTTGCTATGGAATCAATTTTTCTCTGCTTGTACTATGCAATTTCCTTTTGGCATTAAACCAAATGGTGGATCCTCTAGCCTCCTCTCCCTTTGCTTTATGACACCATATAGGTAGGAATCTATGCTGTATGTGTGTGCTGGGATCTGAGTAGGTTAGCAACTCTAGTTAAGATTTTCCACACAGCAAGTCTTGAGTTACTTCATACTAACTGGATCATTGATTTGTAGTTTCTCAAGAAGATTCTGGAATAGCTCGTCCAGGAGGCCATCTGGTGGAATCAGTCTCTGTGACAGGATCCCCTCCTGTCTACAATATATCATTGTTGGCAGGGTGTGCCACAGAGCTCCCACTCATCACTGCATGGTAAGGAGTGGTTTTTATACACCTTTTCCCCCTTGGGATTGCGGGTTGGCTTGGAGGACACAGTAGTGAGAATTTTCCTAGAGAAAACTACCTGTCTTACTGCCTAAAGTAATATTTTCTATCCTGAGACTGTGGCATCATTCTGAGCTGGATATTTTGTTAAAACTCAAATCATGGGGCTGGCTTAGTGGCACAGCAGATCCAGCCAGTATCGCATGTGAGAGCAGGTTTGAGTTCTACCTGTTCCACTGGTGATCTAGCTCCCTGCTGGTGTGCCTGGGAGGACAGCGGAGGATAGTCCAAGTGCTTGTGCCCCTACCACCCATATGGGAGATCTGGATGGGATTCTGGACTCCTGACTTCGACTTGGCCCAGCCCTGGCTGTTGTGACCATTTAGGGGAGTGAACCAGCAGATGGAAGATTACTCTCTCCCTCCCTCTCTCTCTTTCTCTAAATCTACCTTTAAAATGAACAAAAAACTCTTTAAAGAAGACCTAAAATGCTGGGCTCCACCCCCATAATCTGATTTGGTATGTTTTGGGGTAGATTCTCAGAATTTGTACTTTTCCGCAAGTTCTTGGGTAATGCTGATTCTGCACATCTGGGGACTACAGTTTGAGCACTAATTTCTACTGCATTTGTTTAAAAAAAAGCAGCTGTCTTTTATGCTTCTCAGAGGATCACATTACCAGTGGTTTCTGATTTTTTCCCCTCAATCCATTTGCCATATATTAATCTTTTTGAAATTATTAGAAGGAAAATGAGATAGTCCAACAAAAGAGGTATTTCTAAGAACTCACCACCAGATGGCACTAAAACCCCATAAGTGTTGCTTCTTAGCTGCAGTTCATAAAGCAATAATTAAATATGAGGTTCCTGCAAGTCACTGGAATATATGTATGCTTTAATTTATCCTCTTAATTTTTCACTTAAACCTCAGTAGAGTATGGATAGTTGAGATGCTCTGCCTTTTATATACAGATGCATATATATGGGGAAAGAAGGGGAAAAACACAGGGCACTTCAAAAAATTCATGGAAAAACGGAATTAAAAGTGAAAATTTTTGCAGTTCATGCCTAATTTTTTTCATGTTACACATTTTCCATGAACTTTTTTGAATACCCCTGTACATATATATTTCTGTTTTTTCTGCCATGTTCCCACATGAGTTCTCCTACCTGCAGCATGCTGGGGTGGTATATCTAACGCAGGTACAGAAAACTTGAATCTGTGCTCCACATTCCTGGACTTAGAGTCTGTTTCCTGGTCCTCTGGGTGAAGACAATAAAACCATCAATAGAATGAAGAGGCGAGAGAGCTTTAAGGGCAGAAGGGCAGACAGGAAGCTACTGTTTTGGCAGGCTCCAAATGCCAAAGTTACTAAATCTGAGATAATACAAACTTCTTTATGTAACTCTGAACAAGTTTGTATTTGGAATGGATGATTTCAGGATCCCTCTGAGTTTCTTGCAAGTTCTTTAGCTCCTTCTGGAAGCCTCTGGCCTGAATGAGACAGGACAACCTTCAGACTAGATTCTCCTAGGTGCGTGTCCCAACCCAGTCAGTGTCACTCTATTTCTATGCTTCTATGTATACTGATCAATATGCAGTACTTAAATAATATTGTTGAATGTTGTTGATAGAAATCATGCCTGTTGCTGAAATTTTAGGAAACACAGAAAAACACATAAGGTTAAAAATCACTGAGAATCCATCAGGTGAGAGGTGACTTCTATTAATGCATTGAGTCACATTCTAATGGCCTTTTTAAAGAATTTTTTATATACTAATGCATATATGTATTTGTTTTTTAATCCTTAAATTGAGATCATACATTATATTATATTTGTAATGTGTCCTTTTTACATAATGGTATTGATTGACTATACCCCATTTCATTAAACATCCTTCTAAAATTATTTCTAATGACTTGCATCAGCTGTTTTGGCTGCTGTAACATAATAACATAGATGGAAAGCTTGATAAACAATAGATATTTATTGCTCAGAGTTGTGGAGGAAGGGAAGTCCAAGTTTAAGGCACCAGCAGATTCAAGGTCTGGTGAGTGCTTGTGTCTGGGTTCTTGCCGAGTCCTCACATGGTAGAAGCTATGTGGGCCTCTCTGGGGATGCTAGCCTCATTCATGAGAGGTCTGCCTTCAGTCACCTTTAGGAACTGACCTAATTACCTCTCCAGAAGCCCCGTATTCTACTACTGCCACCTTGGGGATTCAGACTGGACATGACAACTGTGGGGAAACACAGACATTCGGCATTTGGTCCATACTAATGGCTGAGCAGTATTCTATCTCACAGTGTGTCACAGTGTACTGGACCCTCTTGTTATATTAGAAGCATGGTTGGACAGGCAATGTGTTTAAACACAGGAGCTTGGTTAGAAGCAGGCCAGCTCAATGGCCATGTTTCAGTCAGGGTACTGGATGGGAAAGCCTCTGGACCAGGGAACACTGACTTTTGTTTGAACATGCACACAGGGCTAGAGAAAACCAGATTCTTTCAACTCTGCACCAGAACCAGAACTCTGGTGATCACATTTACTCCTGCGCTGGATGCCTTACTGGCAGGATCAGGGCAGTGAGAGGAGTGGAACATTCTTAAATAATCCTAATGCTTATTATTGTGCTTTTTCTGGTGTTACAAGAGAGGGACACCCAGTATTTGGGAGTTTGAGCTCAAAGCCTGTAACCATGGGAGGCAGCCTGATCTTTGAGACAGAGCTGCATTTGGTCTGGATCAGCACGTCTTGATACCTACTGTGAATAAAGCTTTGCTTTTGACATGCCGCAGCTCTGTGCCCACCAATGGAACCGAAGAAGGAGCTGAATTGGTCCAGGGGACGACGCAGAGACTGCAGAGGACAAGTCCACCGTTGGGAGGACACTTTCGCATCCACCTTCCTAATGCAGTGATTCCCGGTAAAGGGGCAGTGGGGGAGGTGGTGGTGGGGGGGCTCTTCTCATTTCTGTATTTGGAGATAGTCACAGGGAAGCAACAACTCTGAGGTTGTCAGACAGGGTGGTGGTCTTAAAGCTGTTTGTTTATTTTCCAGTATCTGAAAATGATTTTCTTAAAGATCTGGAAAGGGACTTAGTAATATGATCCCAGTCGTTTTATTTTATAAATGTGGAAACGGAGTGAATTAGTTTCCTGTGCCTATTGTAATAAACTACCAGAAATTTGGTGGCTGAACGCAATTGAAACATGTTCTCTCCCGGTTCTGGGGTCAGAAGTTTCTCTCAGGTTGTCAGTGGGGCCACGCTCCCTTTGAAGACCCTAGGGGTGGATGTGTTTCCTGCCTCCTTGAGCTTCTGGTGGCTGCTAGCACTCCTTGGCTGTGTCTGCCTCTCTCCAACCTCTGCCTCCCTTGTTGCATGCTGCTGGGGCTCCTGTCTCAAAACCTCCTCTGCCTGTTGCATAAGGATATATGTGATTGCATTTAGGATAATCCAGAACAAACACTCCAAGATCTTTAACTTAATCAGATCTTTGCCATGTAAGGCTAGATTCTTTTTTTTTTTTGCCTTTTAAAGTAATATTCATGTATTCTGGGAATTAGGTCACTAACATAACTTTTAGAGGCCACCACTTAGCAAACTGCACTGAGGCTTGTCTGAAGGTCATACGAAGAGTTGTAGCAATGTCTAGCTGTGAACCTGGGCATTTGGGTCTCAGGGTCAGTTCTCTTCTCTCTAGAGTTTTCTAGACTAAGATCCATGGTGGCCAGGGTGACACCATACATTAGGTGTGAATTTTTGTGGCCACAGAAAATACAGAAGAGCTTTCCGATAGAGTAGAGCCTTTAAATCTTCAAGCAACACACATTTCAAAAAGGACAAAGATTAGAACTGTTAAAGATACAGGGGTACTTTAAAAAAGATGTGGAAGTGACATTAAAAGACAAGTATTTTGATGGAAAATAATTTTGAAATCTTCATATTTTTCATAGTATGCATTTTCATGAGTATTTTGGAGACCCTTCATATGCATGGATTTCAAAAATTTCTGCAGCGTGAATGTTTTGAAGCTGTCTCGAATGTTGCTTATTTGGTAGAGTGAACCAGAAAGGAGGCTCAGGAGAACTCAGAAGCAGCTATGTAAGAGTTGGCGCGTGGTACAAAAGTTTTCTGTCGTCCCAGCAGAATGATGTTAGGCTTGCAAAAGAATTTTCTGGGCTGGAGGAACAGGAGTGTGTATTTACTACAAGAGGGAAACTTAGGATCCCTGGCAATTGGAATCTGATGTGTAGGGAAACCTAGTGCTAACAATGTCCTGCCCCCATGAGGCCCACTCTTGTGCTGTGTTTCTCTTTTCACAAATGAGAGCGTTTACCTGCAGAGAGACTTTTCTGCTACAACTTTCTGTTGTGGACTTTCTTCCCATCACTGCCTGGAAAACAACTGCTTAGCCTTACCCTGGCCTTTTCAAATGGTGAGGATCTGGGGCAGGTGTGGTGGTGCAGAGAGTTAAGCTTCCTTTTAGGCTACTCACATCCCTGACTGCTCTCCTTCTGCTCCAGCTTCCTGCTAATGCATCTTGAAGGGCAGCAGATGATAATTCAAGTGCTTGGGCCCCTACCACTCACATGGGAGATCTGAATGGGGTTCTAGGATCCTGGGTTTGGGCTGGCCCAGCCCTGGTTGTTGTGGGCATTTGGGGAAGTGAACTAGTGGTTAGAAGAGATCTCTCTCTCTTTCTGTCTTTCAAGGAGATGAAAATGAGAAAATAAACTTAAAATGGAGAGCATCCAAATTCTTACATTAAGTATAGAAAAAGGTTTTTTCAAAGGTTGAGAGTTTTCTCATCAAAATTTATTTTGCAAACCTTTTAGGGCAGTATTGGAATTCAAGAGGAAAGCTCTTGAGTAGGCAGAGGGCAACCTCTGTTCTAAGCTAAATCTGACTTTCTGGGTCGGCGTCTGAACGCTGTTGGGTTTCATTTTCTTCATCTCTAAGGTTGCCATTAGGGTATCCAAATTACCCACTTTTCAGGCTATTGGGAGTAGCTAATGAAATGGAAACTTTTGGTAAAGCATGAAGCAGAGTTCAAACTTAGAGCATTGTTATTTCTGTTTGGAGATGTGGAATGGGGAAGCAGGTGGTTGGGCTTAAAGGAAATTCTAATAGAGAAACTGAAGTTAAATGCCAACATTCCCCAGCTGGGTTAGCTAGCTTTTTATGGGTGTCAGCTGCTCTCTGCCTTTCTCACTCCCTGTGAAAAGTGGCCAACTTTTCTCTGTTCACAGGGCCAGCTAATTTTTTCCAGGGAAAATCCAATATTTAATTAGGCTTTCAGTCATTACAAAGGTGTCTGGAGCTAACATTTCCAGTTAACAGTTGAGATTGTTTTGTCTGACATGACTGTGTTCTCCGCTTGCTACATGATATGGTATTGATAAAAGGAATTATGATGTTAAAAGTGGGTATCCACTTGTGTTTGCTTAATCTAACTAATTAGGTCTAACTAGCTAGCGCTGGGCATTTTTTTTTTTTTTTTGAGAGGTAGAGTTACAGACAAAGAGAGGGAGCGACATAGAGAAAGGTCTTCCATCCATTGGTTCACTCTCCCAAATGGTTACATTGGCTGGAGCTGAGCCAATCTGAAGCCAGGAGCCAGGAGCTTCCTTTGGGTCTCCCACACAGTTGCAGGGGCCCAAGGACTTGGGTCATCTTCTACTGCTTTCCCAGGCCATAGTGCAGAGCTGGATTGGAAAAGGAGCAGCTGGGACATGAATTGGTGCCCATATGGGATATTGGTGCTGCAGGCAAAGGCTTAACCTATTATGCCACAGCACTGGCCCCTGGGCATTCTTTTGAAGGTATATCTTTGAATCTCCTAAAAATTTAGTAGGCATCCTGTTATTTATTTTCTGCTATCCTTGTTGACGAGACCCTGAAAAGTGGATTAATTAGTGTCTTGCTCATCTCTTCTCTCAAACCCTTTTCTCACAGATGTCCCTGTGCATATTTCTGCTAATTATCTTCAGAAGCTCTTACAGAACAATGCTGATAACTTCACATCCAGATACCTCAATGTCTCTGACTTCACGGTAAAGGAGGATCTCAACTCTTGCTATGAACATATTTGGACACTTTCCTGGTCCACTCAGATTGGGGATTTGCCCAACTTTATCAGGGTATGTATGATATCCCTTTGGTGGTATCAATTAGGAGCCCTAGAGAAACTTGGAAAAAAAATCAGAATTATACAAATGAAAACTGTCATTAATTATTAATTTTGTTAGAATATTCAAGTAAAAAGATGCAATAATCTTTATTTCTGGAAGCTTTTAAACACAGTTTGGACCTCATACCCCAGTAAAACAATTTAAATGCAACATCCCCTTTCCTAAGTGGGAAAAGGTAGAGAACAGTGGTCAGTGTCCACCATACAATAATTCTGCATCTGTTATTGGATAATTTAAGCAGATGTGATTGACTTAGATTATCATGGAGGCAGATGGCGTACCAGAAGGAAGTTTAGAAAAGGATTTGCTGTCTTTGGATAATGACAAAACCAGATGCTCTTGCATATTTAGGATTTTAAAAAATAATCTAATAATCATCTAGCATTCAGTTATTATAAATGAAGCCCAAGATGAAATTTTATATGGCATAGTGGGTCATCTGGTTTTCAAAGTCCTGGAGTGGAGATGGAAGATGGATAGTGGTCCTTGCTCTCATCCCGTATTGCTGTTTCTTTTCATTTTATTATTTTCGATTGTAAGCATATAAAATAGAGAAATGTATTGAAACTAAATATCTCAATTTAGAAGATGGAGTTGTTATACTTCTTTTGATAATTCAACATACAAGTAGATATTCCTCTAAGCTACTGGGACTTTATTTTTTTTTTTTTTAAGATTTATTTATTTTATTTGAAAGGCAGAGTTAAGAGAGACAGAGGCAGAGAGAGGAGAGGTCTTTCATCCGCTGGTTCACTCCCAAGATACACGCATCGGCAGGAGCTGCACTGATCCAAAGCCAGGAGCCAGGAGCTTCTTCCGGGTCTCCCACTCGGGTGCAGGGGCCCAAGGACTTGGGTCATCTTCCATTGCTTTCCCAGGCCATAGCAGAGAGCTGGATCAGAAGAGGAGCAGCCGAGACTCGAACTGGCGCCCCTTTGTGATGCCGGCACTGCAGGCAGCGGCTTTACGTGCTTTTCATTATTTACTTTTAGGTTTCAATTCTCTTTTACCCCACTTTCACTTTTTAGCTATCTGATGATATGTAACAGAATTGAAAAATTTATTTGTTTTTAGTTAGCATTGGATTTCTGTTCCATGACTGAATTTATCAGAAATGTAACCCCCTCAGGTCTCTGATGAAGATCTTACTGGATTGGATCCTGTTGCAACTACTCGGGTGGTATACGATGGTGGAGTTTTTCTTGGACCCATATTTGGAGACATGTTGGCTACTGCCAATCAGCACCCTCAGGTGAGAGTGGGTGAGAGGTTTTTTCAAGGTTTATTTTGTTCATTTGAAATGCAGAGTTAGAGACAGAGGGCCAGAGAGAGAGAGTAGTCATCTACCAGCTGGTTCACTCTGCAAATGGCCATAACAGTCAGTGCTGGGCCAGTCTGAAGCCAGGAGGGACTCCCATGAGGACTACCATGAGGGTGCAGTGGCCCAAGCACTTCTGCTGTTCTTTGGTGCATTTCCAGGCACATTAGCAGGGGGGCTGGACTGGAAATATGGCAGCTGGGACTTGAACCAGTGCCCGTATGGGATGCCAACATTGCAGGCGGTGGCTTGTCATGCGATGTCAACCCCTGAGCATTTAAAGTACCAGTTTCCAAGTCTTACTGATACTCACTGATATGTAATATAGGCTCATGCATTTAGCAGCTGAGGGTAATATTTTCAATCAATAAAACTAAGGCAATTATGGTTGTACTCATTCTACTTCCACAGGGTATGTAAATTACAGTGAAAATATTAATGCTGTGTAATATAATATTGTGTTATTATTGATGCTGTTATTCTGATGCAAAGAAGTAGAGAACTTAGAGGAAAATATTATCTATGCCTCTAGACAGTGGAATTGGAAAGCAAATGAGCTAAGTCAACTTTTTTGTTTTAAAGGTGTTCCTCTTTCCCATCTATCAGCATTCTGGTTAAAAGTCATTTGCTTTTAATTTGAGAAAAATTTAAATTACAAAAACAATAAGTAGGGCTACAACTAACACCTTCGAACCTGAACAGGGTTAACACATGTCAACATCAAATATATTTGTATTTTAGGTCTTTATGGAAAGAATAAAGCATTATCAATAAAATTGTAATGTTCTTTATTACCCCTGCCATTCTGATACTATTCACTTACATAAGGAAGTGCTATCATAAATGTCACATCTATGCTTTTAATCCATTTTTATAGGTAGAGAATCAATTGAGTCCCATATTTTCCACTTTCCTGATTTCCAAGTGTTGTTTGAGTTTTGTCAGATTAGCATTGGTTTCAGTGAACCGGAAAGACATAGCCTCTTCTTTGGGACCTACCAATCTGAAACAAAAACGGACCCACATCATATATCCAGGGATGTATACAGTCACAAAGTGATATTATACATATACAGTTACACATACACACGTACAGTCACAGACTGATGTTAGAGGACAGGTGCCTACTTTGTTGGTCTTTATTAACAAGCAAAGAGCTTGCAGTGAGTAGCTAGTTGAAAACATGGAGAGAGAAGTCTGTGTGCATTTTAAGTTAATGAAATTTACTTCTAAGTGATAGAGATTTACTCAAGAATTTGCATATTTAGTTCTGAAATGGATTTTATAATATCTATCATCACGTTAGAAAGCTTAGTATGTTTTGTGGTATTCATTACAATTGAAGATTTGTACTGTGAAACTAGAAGAAAATGAGAATAAATCAAATTGTTAACACATTTTTATTTGGGGGAAATTCACAAGTGCTTTATGAATAGCCTTGTACATATGAATTGCATACTTTTAAAAAGTGCTTTTGCCTTTTTTCAGGTGGTTGTGCTAGTAAATGACATACCAGCTCATTGCCCAGGGAACTGCTCTTTCCAGTACCTCCAGGAGTCAACACCCTGCATGCATTCTGTGTGGTATTCCCTTGGTATGACTTGAGACTTGGCACTGAGACTGGCATGAACCTCAGAGTTATTTTGCTAGGGGAATATAGCTGGTGATGGGAGAGGGTGTAGATTATACATCAGTTCATTAGTTGGATGTTGAGTGACACAGCAGGAAGCACATTTCTGTCTGTCTAGGGGATATTATCATGAGTTGAAATGGGAAAGAGTAGATTTTTGATTATTTAAAATGTTTAATCTATAGCAATCCTTCATGACTAGTTTGAGAAAATTTAAAGTGGGAGCTCTATACTATGGAAATATATGTGTGTGCTCAATAGTTACATTAGCGTTCAACTCCGCACTGGGGAGCAGGGAGGTGAGAGGGAAGAACATTTAATGTAAAACAGGATTCTGAAGTGGAGTGATATCACTGAGAAAATGTTTTTTTTTTTTTTAATTTCTTATCTCATTTAAGATGGAGACATCAACCTACTGGTTTATATTAGTGGAACTGGTTTCTCTGGTGACTCCAAATCTTTGCAGGTTACAGTGAACGAAACAAGTTGCAAAGTTGTTTTCTCAAATCAAACAAATGTGGTCTGTCAGACAGACCTGCTGCCGGTTGGAGTTCATCAGATCTCCATGTTGGTGAGACCCTGTGGTCTCGCTGTCAGTGCCAGTGGAGAAGGCCTCTTTCTCAATGTGGAACCCAGACTGGATGCTGTGGAGCCTTCCAGAGCTGCAGAGATTGGTAATCTGGGGAGGGTTTCCCAATGCATCTGATCCTTGCAAGCTAGCATTCGGGCTGATCTGTAGGTCCTGAGTGTCTGAAATCCCGTATCTACTATAATTCACAGCCTTCGATTTTTTGAGTATTTCCTTTAATGAACAAACTTTTAAGCCTTAAATGAACTCACTTGCCACATTAAGCATTATAGTGTGGCTGGGGTGGAGTCAGGCACAATTGGGTCAGCCACTGAGTCATCGGGGCCACTTGCTTTATTGGAAGCAACACTGGATTGGGAGTTAGCACATATGCTTGAGTTTTTGTTCTTCCCCAAGTCAGATGTGTGAGCCCAGAATTTGAAGTTACTTCTCTGATACTTAGTTTCCTAATAATGATGATGATGAAAGCCATAATAGCATAACATCATTTATTTAATACCTATGCTAAATTCTCACACACCTTACATGTTTAGAACTGCCTGAATGGTAGAATTATTATCCCCATTTTCAGATGAGATAATACTGGTTCTAAGATGAGAGTGATTTGCCAAGGTTTCCCATGGAGAGAGACAAAGCTAGAGTGCAAACCAGAACTATCTGATGCCAAGGTCCTTGCTGGCTCTATGAAGAATCTTCAGAAAGATAATGGAAAATGAATATGATGAAAAAATTATGCATGGGTTTAAACATTTTTATTAATAAGCTTATTCTTGAATAATGATGTGGCAAGTGAATTCATTTAAGACTTAAAAGTCTGTACAATTTTTCCATTAACTCTTTGAAGTACCCTTGTACCATGCTGTCTTACAAGATAAGCCCAAACTACTTGACTTACATGATGCTTAGTTCTCTGTGAGGTGGGGAAGCTCCTTTACATGTACAACTTTTGACAAATGTGAAGTGCAGGCTTTCCTCAACCACTAGGGGATTTATACATAGGTAATGTTTCACAAATGTTTGTTAACTGACCAACACTCGATGCTTGCTTAGCATGCAAAACCAATGGCCACTTGAGTAGTAGGGGATACAGAGGGCAGTGGGTCTTGTCAATATCAACTCCATGGATTGGGTAAGTTCCATGGGAAATCAGACCTCTCTATGACTTGCTGCTTTCTAAAGGGTAGGACTAATTAAAATCAACCACGCTGGATTTTAAGAATCTGAGGAATACTCATGCTTATGTTTGCTAACATAAGATATGCATACATTCCAGAGCATAAGACTCATTTCCCCAAACTTTAGATTTTTGTCATTGCTTATTATAGTGGCCAGAGGCCTGCATTTCAGAACATATTTTGGAGCAATGTGTTCTGGCCACAGACTCCTCGTTCACAGGGACAGACTGTTTCTGACTTTACTTTGCCTGGGATTGTGGATTGTGAAACCTACCCCACCTCATTTCTATAATTAAAACAGAGCAAGCAGCACTTACTCTTATGTCTCAGTGATTTACGGAAGGACACAGGTGCTATGTGGTGTACACAGGGAAGTTCATATTCTAGTTTATCATGATAATTGTTGGTTTGTGTTTAAGGCACATACTAGTCCTCTCATGAGAGTTATAGGTGTTTTGATCTTTATAGTTTTACCTTTGCAGTCCAAGCCATGCAACCTTCTTTAACTTCTCTCCCCACCACTAGATAGTAGGTGACTCAGTCATCTTTGTTTCCCCTGTACAGAGTGCTTTGCACACGCAGGTTGGCTAATTCTCAGTTTTCCTGGTACTCAGAGGGATCCCAAGATGCAAGACGTTCAGTTTTAAAACTGATTTGCAGAATTCTTAGTGCTAAAACTTGGTCCAAAATTGAAATGAGTTGATCATCCATTAGGGAATGCTATACCTGCAGTATTTCATGAAGGGACAGGGAGTTCTGGGAGGATCATATCTCATTGCTGTACATTTCAGCAAAAGATGGAAAATTCTGAGAAGGAGTAATGCCGGATGGATGCAAATACATTATCCCTCTTAGTATTTTTTTTTTGTCTGTTCTACTTAATATGACTGGTTTAATTCTGTAATTATCACACAGTTATTCTTAAGTGTTGAAAATGAACTGAAATGTGATCCCTGTTAAACATAAGAGTGGGAATAAGAGAGGGAAGAGATGTATAATTTGGGGCATGCTCGGGCTGACTTGCCCCAATTGGTAGAGTTGGAAACATACCAGGGGATTCCAATTCAATCCCATCAAGGTGGCATGTGCCAATGCCATCTCACTATTCCAAGTGATCAATTTCAGTTCACAATTGATCATAATGAAAGGACTAAGAGTCAAAGGGAGCACATAAACAAGTCTAGTACCTGCTAACACTAACCGATAGAATAAATAAAGGGGAGAGTGATCCAACATGGGAAGTGAGATACTCAGCAGACTCATAGAATGGCGGATGTCCTAAATAGCACTCTGGCCTCAGAATCAGCCCTAAAGGCACTCGGATCTGGCTGAAAAGCCTATGAGAGTATTTCAGGCATGGAAAGCCAAGACACTCTGGCAAAAAGATCTCTGTGAGTGAGATCCCAGTGGAAAGAACAGGTCATCAAAAAAGGAGGTACCTTTCTCTGAAGGGAGGAGAGAACCTCCACTTTGACTATGACCGTGTCTAAACAAGATAAGAGTCGGAGAACTCAAGGGGCTTCCATAGCCTTGGAAACTCATGACTGGTGCATAGGGAGATTACTGATGCCATAGACAGGAGTGTCAATTGGTAAAGTCAACAACAGGAGTCACTGTGCACTTACTCCTCATGTAGGATCTCTGTCCTTAATGTACTGTACACTGAGGCTTAATGCTATAACGAGTACTCAAACAGTATATTTCACTTTGTGTTTCTATGGGGGTGCAAACTGTTGAAATCTTTACTTAATGTACACTAAACTGATCTTCTGTAAAAAAAAAAAAAAAAAACAGAAATTATCACCTCCCTGCTTGACTCTCACTGGGATTAAACATGACAATAGGTCTGATCTGATTTCATCATCAAAAAAAAAAAAAAAAAAAAAAAAAAAAAAAAAAAAAAAAAACTAAGGAGAGAGGGAAGGTGAGAGGGAAAGGCTCCAGGTCTGCTTCTTTAAAACTGGATTTAAACTTTCCCTATTGACTCTCTCTGCCCTATTACCTACATAGTAGCAACCAGTGTTAATCTGCCACTTACATACCCATTCAGCACTGATGGAGCCATTCTGCATACCACCCTCTGCTAGATGTTAAAGACTTTGGGCTTCAAGTGTGGTCCTAGACCAGCAGTTTTTGTATCACCTGGGGAGCTTGTTAGAAATGCACAGTCTTAGGTCCCATCTCAGAATTCCTGAATTAATCTTCATTTTAATAGGATCCTCTGGCAATTTCTATGAAGAATAAAGTTTGAGAAATGTGGCTATAGGGAGGTCAAAGAGAACCAGGCTTAGGCCTACCAAAAAGAAATCTATAGCTGAATAGGTAGTCAATATATATAATAATGAATTTAATAATATTCTAAATTATCATTTACCTATATATGAAGCAACCCACAGTTTTTTTTTTTTTCCTTTTTTTTTTTAACTTTTATTTAATGCATATAAATTTCCAAAGTACGACTTATGGATTACAATGGCTTCCCCCCCATACTGTCCCTCCCACCCACAACCCTCCCCTTTCCCACTCCCTCTCCCCTTCCATTCACATCAAGATTCATTTTTGATTATCTTAATATACAGAAGATCAGCTTAGTATACATCAAGTATGGATTTCAACAGTTTGCTCCCACACAGAAACATAAAGTGAAAAATAATAGATGATTTTTTTTAAATGATGATGAAATCAGAGCAGACCTATTGTCATGTTTAATCCCAATGAGAGTCAAGTTGGGAATTGATAATTTCTTTTTTTTTTTTTTTTTTTACAGAGGATCAGTTTAGTATGCATTAAGTAAGGATTTCAACAGTTTGCACCCCCATAGAAACACAAAGTGAAATATATTGTTTGAGTACTCGTTATAGCATTAAATCTCAATGTACAGCACATTAAGGATAGAGATCCTACATGAGGAGTAAGTGCACAGTGACTCCTGTTGTTGACTTTACCAATTGACACTCCTGTCTATGGCATCAGTAATCTCCCTATGCTCCAGTCATGAGTTTCCAAGGCTATGGAAGCCCTCTGAGTTCTCCGACTCTTATCTTGTTTAGACAAGGTCATAGTCAAAGTGGAGGTTCTCTCCTCCCTTCAGAGAAAGGTACCTCCTTTTTTGATGACCCGTTCTTTCCACTGGGATCTCACTCACAGAGATCTTTTGCCAGAGTGTCTTGGCTTTCCATGCCTGAAATACTCTCATGAGCTTTTCAGCCAGCTCCGAATGCCTTTAGGGCTGATTCTGAGGCCAGAGTGCTATTTAGGACATCTGCCATTCTATGAGTCTGCTGAGTATCTCACTTCCCATGTTGGATCACTCTCCCCTTTATTTACTCCATCGGTTAGCGTTAGCAGGTACTAGACTTGTCTATGTGCTCCCTTTGACTCCCAGTCCCTCCACCATGACCAACTGTGAACTGAAATTGATCACCTGGAACAGTGAGATGGCATTGGTACATGCCACCTCGATGGGATTGAATTGGAATCCCCTGGTATGCTTCCAACTCCACCACTTGGGGCAAGTCAGCCTAAGCATGTCCCAAATTATACATCTCTTCCCTCTCCCATTCCCACCACCATGTTCAACAGGGATCACATTTCAGTTAATTTTCAACACTTAAGAATAACTGTGCATCAATTACAGATCTAAACCAGTCATATTAAGTAGAACAGATAAAAAAACTACTAAGAGGGATAATGTATTAAGTTGTTCATTAACAGTCAGGGCTATGCTGATCAAGCCACCGTTTCCCATAGTGTCCACCTCACTCCAACAGGTTTCCCTCTTGGTGTTCAGTCAGTCGTCACCGATCAGGGAGAACATATGGTATTTGTCCCTTTGGGACTGGCTTATTTCACTCAGCATGATGTGTTCCAGATTCCTCCATTTTGTTGCAAATGACTGGATTTCGTTGTT